TATCGAGATTTTACAGTATTTATTTAAAATTGCACTCAAAATTAAAATGATAAATTATGAGACAGCAATTTTGATATCAACGTTATCACGCGATAAAGTTTTTTTTTAACATTAGTAAGTGTTTGTTCGCGCATGCTTCGCGATAGCTATAAATATCACTAAAAAGTTAAAAGTTCATCATTAACATTAACGTTTTTGTAGTAAAATGGCTTCGAAATCGCCGGAAAAAATCGTGGAAATCGCTCGGAAAGCTTTCGATTCCGGGCGAACGATCCCGTTGGAATTTCGCGAACGTCAACTTAAAAATCTGTTAAAAATGTGCGAAGAAAACCAAGATGAAATGATCGAGGTCTTAAAAAAGGACCTAAATAAATCAAGAAGTGAGTCGTTGTTGACGGAAATTTTAATGTTGAAACTCGACATTCAAGAACAATTAAAGAATTTAAGAAAATGGGCCGAACCGGAAAAGCCGAAAAAAACCGTTGCTACTTTAATGGATGAAGCGATTATTTATAACGATCCTTACGGTGTTGTTTTGGTGATAAGCGCTTGGAATTACCCGATTAATTTAACATTTATCCCCATAACCGGGGCTATAGCCGCCGGAAATTGCGTCATCATAAAACCATCCGAAATTGCCCCAGCAACCGCTCGTTTCATCGAAAAAATTTTACCCAAATACTTAGATAACGAGTGTTACCAAGTTATGTGTGGCGGAGTCCCCGAAACAACGCAACTTTTACAACAAAAATTCGATTACATTTTTTTCACCGGAAGTACGCAAGTTGGCAAAATCGTTCATGCCGCGGCCACGAAAAATTTAACCCCCGTCACGTTAGAATTAGGAGGAAAAAGCCCCCTTTACATAGACGAAACTGTTAATATGGATGTGGCGGCGCGAAGAATTCTTTGGGGGAAATGTGTGAATGCGGGACAAACTTGTATAGCCCCAGATTATATTTTGTGTACCAAAAACACTCAAGAAAAATTTATAGAAAAATCGAAAAAAATTTTGAAGGAATGGTACGGGGATAACCCCCAAAAATCGGAAGATTTCTGCCGAATCGTCACCGATAACCACTTCAAAAGAATCACAAAATACTTAAAAGATGGAAACGTTGCTATCGGGGGAAAAACCGACCCCGAAGATAAATTCATCGAACCAACAATCCTCGTTAATATCACCCCATCAGATCCTATCATGCAAGAGGAAATTTTCGGGCCAATTCTCCCTATTTTAAACGTAAATAATCAAAAGGAAGCAATCGAGTTTATTAGGAAAGGCGAAAAGCCTTTAGCTTTATACATTTTTTCAAACGATCGCTCAACCATCGATGATTTCCTCCAAAATACTTCTTCCGGAGGAGTTTGTGTTAATGATACTTTGATGCATATGGCAACCCCAGGACTTCCTTTCGGCGGGGTTGGAGCCAGTGGAATGGGAAGATACCACGGAAAATCAAGCTTCGATACTTTCGTGCATAAGAAAAGCATTTTGGTGAAGAATTTAGGAACGTTCGGAGAAAAAGTGATGTCTATAAGATACCCCCCTTATTCAAAAAGTAAAACGGATAAACTTAAAATGGGGATCGAGAAAAGTAATTTTGATTTAAATTTTGATTTTGTTAAGTATATTTTAGTGTTTTTAATGGGATTCATTATTCCTATTGTTGGAATTTTACTTAAATAGAATTAAATTTTATTTTAATAAAGATTTCATTTTTTAATTATTATTAATCTTTTTAATGACATGAATCTTTTCCCATTAAAAAGTCTCTTAATAAACAAATCGATTAATTGTTAGCTTTGCCAAACCAGATGTCGTTTAATTTAAAAAGATTATAATTCAAAAACAAAATTGATATGCAAAAATTAAAAAGGTGACTTTTTTTATAAGTTAATTTCCATCCAAAATCGATTAAGAAAAAATTGCGATAAGCACAACTCTAACTCTAAAACTATCATTTATAAGGTTAAGCAATATGCTCAAAACTATCTAATGTCCTACCAATGGGCTGGGGAAGACACCATAAGCATTGATATTGAAGTTCAAAATTTATATAAAAGAGAAAACTAAAAAGTTTCGGGGTTCGTGCTTCTTCAGACGCATGCCCAAAGTTATTTTAGCTTTATATTATTTTTTTTTTGTTCTTAAGATGTTCAAAATGACCTAAGGAACACGATGAGTACACACAATTCAAATTTGGCAGTAACAACAAAAATTACGCGCTTGTAAAAGTAATTTCCTTAGCTCTAAATTTGCAAATTTAAATATATTTAAAATTTTTTATGCTCCTAAGATGTTCAAAATGACCTCAGGAACACGATGAGTACACACAATTCAAATTTGGCACTAACAAAAGAAATTACGCGCTTGCAAAAGTCATTTCCTTAGCTATAAATTTGCAAATTTTAATTTTTAAAATTTTTTATGCTCCTAAGATGTTCAAAATGACCTCAGGAACACGAGGAGTACACACAATTTAAATTTAGCAGTGACAAAAAAAATTACACGCTTGCAAAAGTCATTTCCTTAGCTCTAAATTTGCAAATTTTAATTTTAAAAAATTTTTTTGTTCCAAAGATGTTCAAAACGACCTAAGGAACACGAATATGTGTGCATTAAAATGATTCATTCAAACAGTTTCGTATTAGCCCGTTATATCGAGGTTTGACTGTGCATGTATATATAAAAACTTAATAACACTGTACAAAAACGTCATAAATAGCCCTGAATATTTGTTGTTGTATTTGATATTTGTGCTCTGGGTGGACGTAAACTTCTGTTATAAAAACGAATCATGGAAAGATCGCTCATCATGATATCATCATTTAAAGTAAATTAAAATCCATGAGTCGATTGTACGATGATAATATTTCTTTTCATATACCTACGTGTGATAAAAAGCTTTTGCTGTGTAAATTAGTGGTATACTCAATTCGGAACATCAAAAAAAAATAATATTAAAAAATAAAACCGAACTGTCTCTTCTGTACTCTAATTTGGTACAGCAGATTTTTGCAGGTTTTTTTAGACCATATCACTGTCTTACAGCAACAACAGATGTTGGAGGAAAGAAATGGGAAAAAAAATGATTTAAAAAGGAAAATTTTCAAAAGGTGATTTTTGTAAGAAGGTATTCTAGTCTGAATAGACAAAAAGAAATTTGAGATAAGTTTTAGAGATGTACGCTGTTGTGAAAGTTTATAGATTTGTTGCATTTTTAAAGAATATATCTCACGATTTTGCGTAAAGTAAATGTTTACTAAGAAAGGGGGGTTTTTCTATATTTATGTTTATTACCATAATTAAATAATATTTTAGTGCAATTTTCACTTTAGATTCGTATTCTATAAATTTCACACATTCCCCTTTAAAAGAAATCTTAAATTGTTTAAATTTAAATTAATAATAAAGAGAACCTCAATATTATTACTCCATACAGGCCTAATCAAACAAAATAAAATAAAAACAAATCGGTAAATTTAAAACAATATTAATAAAAAAACGTTGCACTAGTGAGTATAACGTTTGTCTTTCTCTTTAGAGGTTTTTTCTATCTGTGTTTCCTCAATTACGAGGTTTCGTCTTAGCTGTGAACGTGTAATTTTGTATAGACACTTTTCGATATATACTATACTATATATTTCCTGTTATAAAACCTCTCTCAATGTCTCCAGGTTATATACATACAAAGATATTACGATAAGAATTGTATAAAAAATAATGGTAATAACGGTGGTGGCAGAGGAGTTTTTTTCGAACGACGATCCCCCTTCCCCTCCTAAAAAAAACCCAAACGACTACTTTTATATATCCGTATTATTGCTCTTTCCTTACGATATTTTGTTACCATATTACATTATTATTGCAATAAATATTTTACACAAAAATATATCATTTATATTTTTATCCAAAAACCTTAAATTAAAAACCGATAATTTCAAAACATTATTTCTCAAAAATTAAAAGCGATTTATCAAAACGGCTTTTTGCATTTAAAAAGAGGATACTTTAATTAATAATTGGTGATATTTCCACAAGGATCGTTCAAGAAATAAATTTTATAGCGAATTTTGAAAATTATCGATGAAAATTGCAACATTGAAAATTTTATCAAAACTTCAAATATTGTTTTCTCAAAAACTAAAAGTTATTTTTCAAAATGTGTTGGTTCATTGGAAAGAGGACACTTTTATTAACANACTAACACTAAACCTAGTACTAGAATGTACTTTGGTGCGGATTTCCTCCCTCCATAATCCTGCGCCAGAACTCTCATTACTATACTACTACAGTACGTTGTGACGTGCCTGCTTCAAATGCAACTTGCATTGAAATCGATGCATCTTGATGGATTCGTGCTAATACATTTACTTCTGTCTTGTATCCTTACTTTGTTTACAGAAAGAACCATACTTGCCCAAATTATCATAGACCCTCTTAAAAGTAGGTAGAGAAGGCTGGCGACGATCAAAATATTGTTCTGCAGCTTGTATTGCATTTTAAATTAATTAAACATGGAATACTCTACAAATTTTTCCTAAAATCAATAATAACGGTATCTAACGATATAACAAAAAAACTGTTTTTTCGAGATATCTAGTTAGCCATGCATTTTATCCAAAAAACAAAAAGCTCATTAAATTGAGTTCATGAAACTGCAATTCTTTCCCTATTTAATCGTCTCTCTATCTCCGCTAGTTTTCATATACTAAACATGGAAAAAACTCACCTTGTATATAGTGAGTTTAGACATGCAAGGATCAACTGTCATCATGCATACATCACGTTAAATGGACCACCTGTATATACTATTTCTTCGTCATCACTTTGAGCTAATACTTTATTTTAAGAACTAGTACTGCCATTAATTAAGTAAAAACGACTTATTTAATGAAGGTCATGGTACGTTTTAAATAATAAAGCAGTTTAGAAATAAATAACATTTTTGCGTTAAAAATTAACGATTAAAATTATTATAAATAAATAAGCAAAGTCATTTTGTATAATTTATTAACAACTCAATTCATCAATTAATTTATGATGATTCATTCAAAATTTAACTTTTCATTCTTTTAACCATTCAGCAATAATCCCCTTAATCCTTATTTTAGCCTCCCTCAAAGCTGGAATATCATACTCAGACACCGATTTTAAATCGGCGCAATGAGAACTACCCTCAATAAAAATAGCGGGAGCTAAAGGACTCAAATCGCTCAAAATTCCGAGTGGGTGCCAAGGATCAACGGAACCATGCACCGAAATTAACTTGGTAATCTCAGGTTCAATTGAGCCATAAAACAAATTTGTTCTTCTTACGGCAGTATTTAAAACAGTCTCGTTAAACCTTTCCCCAAATAAAGTTGGGCACATATCAACGAAAAAGTTTAAAGGGAAAGTATCCCCGAAAGGTTGATATTGAGATGTGGTCGTTTGGAAATACCCATATTCAGTGCAAGTTTGATAAATCCATTGGCGATCTAAAAAAATAATCTGAATCATCTAAAACAACAAAATTAAAGTTTCTTACAAATATCGTTTGTTGTTTCATGGGAGGAATAAGTTTCAATAAATTCGTCGTAATCCCCAATACAAGAAACATCCTTATAATTATCCTTAATGTACCCAATTAATTTATTTAAAGCATCCCCATCAAATCCCATCAATTTATCGCAATCATTTTGAATGGAATATTGTCCAGCGTATTGAACCAACCCCGCAAAAGTTTCAGCGATAATCATATTGAAGAAAAACGAGCGGTGGGGTTCCTCATTTTTCAAAGTGTTGCACATCCCTAATCGTTCGCTTAAACTTTTTAAACCATCCTCAGTTTCCATTTCTTTTTCCATTAAATTAGTACCATCATTAATCGTTTGTAAACACTCCGAGTTAACTAATTTAATATTATCGTTAATGACTTCATAGTATTCGTGGAAATCTGCGACGGCTCTTAATGGGCCGCTTGAAGCGTATGCGATGTCGATGGCGTGGGGATATTTAAGACGTAACCATGTAGCCATGGATGCTGAGTATGAACCTCCAACTACAACGACTTTGCTAGATTTTAAGCCAGGAATTGTTTCTTTTTTGTAGTTGATGAAGTAGACTACATCAGCTAATGCTTGGTCGACGTTGAGATATTGCAGGTTTTCGGGAGATAGATCTCTTTAAAAATAATTTAAATTAATTCAAATTTTGTTTTAAATCGATACTAAAATCTTAATTATTAAACTATCTTAATCGTCCAGGAAAAACATTTTGCCTTAATTAAATAAGGGAGTTGGAATGAGGAATGGATTGTTATTATTAGTCATCTCATTTATTAGGTGATGAAATCAACTCCAGATCAATACGTAGAGGATTAAGAGTTCGATTCTGATACAAGCTATTCGTCTGATGAACTTACTAATGTTGAAAAATCAATTTTTCATGAAAGTTAAAGATGGCAAAAATAATTTTCTTTCCACATTTGCTAGTGGAGATGATGAGAAATACGATGCATAAAAAAATAAATTGATTAGAAATTCTGCTCAACCTAAAATTTGAAGAAATTCAAGTTGTATTTAGTAGGATATTTATATTAAAAAGTTTTTTGATGTTTCTAACACTTTTTCAAAGAGTAGCAAATCTTAACTAACATTAAACTATCAGAAATAATCGTGAATCAACAACTTGATAAGAAATAATAGTGGAATTGATTTACTATAATATTACATATAAATAACATCTTCAGGGGTATTCAAAGCCGAAAATCTGGTGTTGCGTCAAGATGGATTCTCGAGAAAGTTATCAAGAGTAATATCAAAGAGAGAGATGAATAAGATTATTGGAAGAACTCGGGAAAATGAAGCAACAGTCAAAAGAATGTTGCAAAAGGCGAAGTAAAAACTGTAATGTTATGACTGAAGGAAAGCAAGAGTGCCAAAACGCACAAAAATAATTGATTCATAAGAATCAGTGTCATGGGGAGTACGATTTTAAGTAGTGATGTTAAATGTTGTAGTGATAGTGCATTTAAAAAACATTTGAATATCGGCTATTTCTCGATATTAGAGGGCTTTTTATAGCAGAGACAAGTGGTGTATCAATCAGTAGATTGCCTCTAAATTGATACGGATCTTGTAGATATGTAATATGAATAGAACCATCTATCGGTAATTGAGTGAGGTGTTGGATGTGGATGAAACTTTCTGATGGTGTGTACGTGGAAGATTAGATTACACTCTTGACAGATAATGTAATGTGTGGGTTGATTGGAGCATTGCCATCACTCCGGGTTTATTCGTTAACGTAACTAATCGTGCCTATGATCGTGCAAAATATTTCTGTTAGTAAATAATTATGAACATTAGCCTTATAAAAGGACTTTGCGTGTTCTCAGATAGTAATGCCATTACCAAAGTCTCTAAGGTAACAAGACATTCTTGGTGTGTTTTGACAGTTGTAAAAAAACAACTGTAGTGTGTTTTATGTATTTGTGTAAGGTTCAAATAGAACTACTATCCATTTAATGCAGATTCAATATCTTTCCATTACTCCAAATATCAACACATTGCTATCGTTGGCATTTAATATAAGCATAATTTAGCACAAACAATAGATCCATGTGGCAATTGCTCTCTCACATTCTCAACAAGTATTATCGTTTGCTCATCAAGATAAGATCATCAAGTATTAAGCATCAAAGAACCATTTTTATCACAAGAGAAACACTCCTTAATTCTTCTTGTTGAGTGCCAAGTGGTTCAAGAGACAATTTCAACTCCATAGAGTAGCTTAATCCAAAAAGATCCATTTCAGTATTTGAATAAATAATCATTATCTATATTGGACTTTATCAGCAGTTGATATGAAATCAATTTATCTCATAAACTATAGATCATTTTGATATCTTCAATCTTCGGGGAATGACCCAACGATGAAAAAAGAGGAATTGTGGGGATAGAAAATTTTAGTATCGATTGCATAAAAATTAATACTTTGTTAAATAATTACTCTGTAGGAAAACTTTGTCCATAATATCGATGTTCCGTATAAAATAAATAACCACGATGCTCTAGTGCCATATCAACAATTTGTCCGGACATTATAGACCCCATATTAATACTCCACTCCCCGCCTAAATAAATAAACATAGGGCCATTTTCTTCAAAAAATTGTCCACTTTCTAGATATCTCTAAAACAGATTAAAAAAAATTATTTTTCTTCTCAAATCTAAAATTACTTACCATTTCCCATTTTCTTGCATCCTTAGGATTGAAATGATCGACTCTTTGTTGAATGGTTCCCCAAGTAGGAGGATCCACTCTTAATTTGGGTGCATCAACATCCGGTGGGCCGTGTTTTTTTAAAATCAAATCACTTTTTACTTGGGTTAACACAAAAATCACCAAAAACAAATTTAAGTACATTTTGATTATAATTCGTAATCCTCAAATGATTTCAACAGAATGCAAGGTGTTATTTATTCCTTTGGTTTTTTTAATTTAGGATAAGATTACTATTTATAATTTTGAATGATAAGATTGTTGTAAAATCGAGGTCAAATAATTAATTAGCCAAGTTAGACAAATGGGTATTTTAATTTATTTGATAAGATATTGAGTTAAATTATTACAGTAATCTATTTTATCGCCTAATATTTTTTAATTCTCCTAATAAGTTCAAATAGGTTGATTGATCTCAATTCTCTTTAATCATCACCTATCAAAAGTAAATAGGGGCGAGATAAATAGGATTAAATTATACCGCGTTGAATAAAAAATCATTATTTTAGCGTCCCTTAAAGCGTATAGAGGTCAGTAGTGTAACACGATCAATAAAAGTTAGTAGCAGCTGCTCCTTACTTCCACCAAAAAATTAAACTTATTCCCCGCATAACATGTTTATCAAAATAATCATAGTGACAAAAATTATTAAAAATTAGTGATTAATCAATCAACTACTTTTAGAGTGTAGTTACAAGAAAAATGCCTCTTTCTGACATCATCAAACGGGCTTCAACCCTCATTTTAGGGTATGAAACTGAAAAACTCTTAGAATACGAAGATAACGAAGTTTTATTTTGCAAAAACAACGTTTGCGTTCATCCCCCGGCTATGATAAGGCAAGATACCGATATTTTACATCATCCTGGTTATCTCACCATAACGACGAAGACATTTATTGATCAATATAACGAAGCTAAAAGACCTACATTGTATTTAACTTGGATACCAAACACAACTTTACGTAAATGCCCAAACGCTTTGCAAAACTCTCCAGCAAAGATTTGTTACGAAAAACAAAACAGTTTTGAAAGTATCACCTCGAACGATTCCTCCTCAATAATTTCTTTCAATTTAGAGCGACCGCAAAGTATCGAATTGAAGTGTACAAATCCGTTTTTGAATTACGACGATAAACAGGACAACAATTTAGAATCGATTTGTTTGGATGAAAACGATAAATTGGAATTTATCAACATAAACGTTGAGATAAGCAACCCGGATATTGAAATAACCACAACTCCCGATAGTGTTAAATCATCGCCGTTTTCGCGTTCCGAATCGGTTACTTCGAATGATAGCTCGATTAATTGGATGTCAACGCCGGAATTTTTAGCTCAAAAGCACAATTTAACATTTCCCGACAGCGCTAATTGCTCACCGATTTTACCAAGTAAACAACCGCATAAATGTAGACGATTTAGCGTCGATTTAAGCCAAATGAGATCGTTAAGATTATTCTTTAGCGATTCGAATTGTACTTGTGGACAGTTAGTTGTTGCCTCACGTGAATCTCAATATAAAATTCTTCATTTTCATCATGGTGGTTTGGATCATTTAGCTCAGGTTTTACATCGATGGCATTCTTTATTACACAGTATCAAATATGCAAAAGGTAATTATTTTTATTTAATTATTTTGACAATTTCAAATTTTGACAGCTATTTGAAACGTCATTTGGAATATAGTACGTTTTTATGATAATAGATGGCGATCAAAAAATAATTTTCACAATAATTATTAAATTAATTTTGAAAAATGCGCTTAAATTATAAAAACTATACATTTATCTCATATTTGTTAAAAAGTCAATTTCGATATCTTTAAATTTCAAGAAGTTACGAGCAAAATTTGAAACCCAGTTTGCGCTTTTTATTAAATTTGTATTCAAGTTGGGTTATTTTAAAGTTTGTTACTTACCGCCTCCTTGTTACCAATAGTGGGTCGATTATGTACACGGAATGGCTAATTTTATGGCAAAATCACATTTTATGGCAACAACAAATTTTGACAGTTCGTTGAAACGACTTGAAACGTCATTAGTAATATAGTACGCTTTTATGATAATAGATGGCGCTTATTTCGCCGTAAAAATAAATTAAACTTAAATTATTAAATTAAAAGGTTTAAATTAATTAAAAAACCACTTTAAATAATAAAAACTAAGTATTTATCTAATATTTGCTAAAATATCAATTGAATAACTTCAAAATTCAAGAAACTACCAGCAAAATTTTTCACGAGAAATTTGTGTTCAATTTTGATGATTAAAAAGTTTGAGTTACTTACCGCCTCCTTGCTACCAATAGTGGGTCGATTATCTGAACACATAATGGCTAATTTTATGGCAAAATCACATTTTATGGCAACTTCAAATTTTGACACTTCGTTGAAACGACTTGAAACGTCATTAGTAATATAGTACGCTTTTATGATAATAGATGGCGATCTTTTCGTATAAATAAATTTTCTCTTAATTTATTAAACTAAAATGATATCGTTATTATTAGTAACACATAAAATAAGCGAATTCTTGAAATATGCCAAAAAATGTTAGAAAGTTGAGTCTAAATCAAATAATATTAATTATTAAATAAGTTATTTTTATAACAGTTTATTACCCCATCTAGTGATATTCATATTAAATAGAATTTTTGACAGTTAAAATTATTAAAGTTGTTAAATTTTGATAAAAAAAAACTTTGAATGGAATCGAAAAGTCCTAAACTTTTTATCCTGTCAATATTAAATTAATAATTATTTTAGGTTGTGATGATAATTTACCTTATCGACACTTTATGGTATGTAGACCGGAAGTATCCGATTTAGAACTTCACCCGGAAGAAGGTCAAGTTCCAAAACTTACCGAAGAATTATTTCGGTGTTTATTTAACGAACATGGTCAAATGGAAGATGATTTAACTTTGAGAAAATCCGTATTTTTCGCTGGCATGGAGAGAACGCTCAGGAAAGAAGTTTGGCCTTTTTTATTGCATTGTTATCCTTATAATAGTACTTACGAAGAAAGAGAACAAATTGCAGAAATTCGAAGACAGGTAAATAAAAAACGTTATTATATAAATTTATATTTAAACTTTAATTTTTAGGAATATGATGAAATAACAAGAAGACGCTTAGATTTAAACGGAAACCAATTAAATCAATTTAAAAGAAAAGTACAAAGTGTAGTTGAAAAGGACGTTGTAAGAACGGACCGAGCAAATCCATTTTTTGCGGGAGATCCAAACCCTAATTTAGACATAATGAAAAACATCTTATTAAATTACGCCGTGTATAACCCAGGTTTGGGGTACACACAAGGAATGAGTGATTTATTAGCCCCCGTTTTATGCGAATTACGCGATGAAGTAGCCGCGTTTTGGTGCTTCGTTGGATTAATGCAAAGAGCCGTTTTTGTGGCAACCCCAACCGATCGAGATATGGATAGATCATTAAAATTTTTACGGGAATTGGTTAGGATTATGGTCCCGAAGTTTTACGATCACCTTCAAAAGCATAAAGATGCGAATGAATTATTGTTTTGTCACCGTTGGATTTTATTGTAAATTAATTACAATTTAAATTTTTTTTATTCTTATTTTTTCTTTTTGATTTAGATGTTTTAAACGAGAATTTACCGAAGGGGTTGCTTTGAGGATGTGGGAAGCTTGTTGGGCGAATTATTTAACGGACTATTTCCATTTATTTCTTTGTTTGGCGATAATTTGCGTTTACGCCGATGATGTAATCGCCCAAGATTTAAAAGCGGATGAGATGTTGTTGCATTTTAGCTCTTTGGGTGATTAAATCAATTTAATTGTTTTAAATGAATTGATTGTTTGTGTTAATTTTTTAGCGATGTATATGGATGGGCAATTAATTGCGAGGAAAGCGAGGGGGCTCCTCCACCAATTTCGGCAACTTCGAGAAATTCCTTGTACTTTATCTGGACTTTGTATGCGTTGTGGGCCTGGGATTTGGGATAGCTCTCATAGCCCGAGAGTTTATTGCACGGGGCATGAACAACAACAACATGGTTATTGCCCAAATGCGTTATAAAGAAATTTTAAGATTGAAGTTTGTACAATAAATCATAAATAAATCCATATCTGAAGCTGAAATGAAATTCTGTTAATTATAATTAATTAATTAGAGTTTATTGGATTTGTTGCTCATTTATAGCTGTTTTAGTAGGAGAGTTTATTGTAATTTAGTCCTAAAAACTATATTATAAATTATAAATAATATAAATGACGCTTTAACGAACAAAAATAATTTTTTTTTTACATAAACAAATTTTATATCACATTTATCATATTTATTTTTATTTATATTTATCGTTATGATCCATTTTTTTTTGGTAAAAAATTCTCCACAACTTGCTTCCAAATATTCGCCAATTCCGTGTGGGATCTTATCCTCAGATTAATTAAACTACTCAAAATCGAGGATAAAGTCTCCAAATAAGCGTGAACTAACTGAGTTTCCATGTGCACGCAGTACAAACTAAAATCAGAACGTAACTCCATGTTGGTTATTACATTTTCTTGGGCCAACATCTTCGTTTCAAGTTGCTCAACGCTTTCAGCCTAAAAAAAATAATCTAAATAAAACGTCCTTGTGTTTAAAAACAAATTACATCGACTCCTTTAATAACTCCTTGAATTTTTCGCTTCTTCAACGAAAGCATTTTGGCCAAAGCCGTTTGATGATCGTTGGCTAATCCTTTTTCTAAGCGCTCGCAAAGATCTTTATGGCCGATTAACACGTCTAAAAGTAGATCTAAACGTTCGCAAACGGTCATTTGTTCAATATTGGCTTGTTGCTCGGCTTTTGATGATAAAGATGTCAAATCCCTAAATAAATTACTTAATAATTGGACCACGTTATGTATCACTTGACTAAGCGACAAATGAACAATGTGGAGAAAAACGAGATCTATTACAAGCACAGAAGCCGCTTGGTCAGTGGTTATCGACGATTTTTTTTTAATCAATGTGAAATAACCCAAAAAAACACGTTTAAAATAAAGAGAAAGTGCAGAAAAGTGACTATCACTAGATTAACTTCGTTTATAAAACTTCTATTACATGATAACTAACTTCAGGTTTAAAATGTCAACCTTAATTATGACATATTTGTAATCTCCATTAAAAATCCTTTAAAATGAGTACAAACACGACATAGTTATCTTCAATATTAATGAAGTTATGGTCAACTTCCGGTTAAGAATGTCAACGTCAATTTTGACATATTTGTAATCGTCGTGAAAAATCCTTTAAAATGAGTCCAAACACGATACGTTTAATTCCAATATTACTCGAGATATAAGCAACTTCCGGTTTGAAATGTCAACGTCACTTTGACATATTCTTAATTTTTATAAAATGTCTTAATATTTGTCACAAAAACAAAAATATAATAAAAAAAATTAAAAATTAAGGTTGGTATTAATATTTAAAAATTAAATTGCTATCTTCATTGTAGCTAACTTCGGGTTTAACGTTTTCTAGTTAAATATGCCGAGTTTGGACTCATTTTCAAGGATTTTTTATGATGTTGACAAATATGTTAAATTAAAAATTGAAAGTTCGAACTTTTTGTTTTTTGAGATAAATGCGTCAAGTTTAAATTCACTTTGAAGGTTATTTTATTTCAGGTTTAAAATGTCAACCTCAATTTTGACGTATTTGTAATCTTCATTAAAAATCCTTTAAAATGAGTACAAACACGACGTATTTATCTTCAATATTAATGAAGTTATGGTCAACTTCCGGTTTGAAATGTCAACGTCATTTTGACATATTCTTAATTTTTATAAAATGTCTTAATATTAATATAAAATCAAAAATATAATAAAAAAAAATTAAAAATTAAGGTTGGTATTAATATTTAAAAATTAAATTGCTATCTTCATTGTTGCTAACTTCGGGTTTAACGTTTTCTATTCTAACTTTTTTGTTTTTTGAGATAAGTGCGTCATCTTTGGACTCATTTTAAAGGTTTTTTAATGAAGATGACAAATATGTCAAAATTGACGTTGACGTTTCAAACCGGAAGTGATTGTATTTCCATTAATATTAAAGTTAAATATGTCGAGTTTGGACTCATTTTAAAGGATTTTTTATGATGTTGACAAATATGTTAAATTAAAAATTGAAAGTTCGAACTTTTTGTTTTTTGAGATAAATGCGTCAAGTTTAAATTCACTTTGAAGGTTATTTTATTTCAGGTTTAAAATGTCAACCTCAATTTTGACGTATTTGTAATCTTCATTAAAAATCCTTTAAAATGAGTACAAACACGACGTATTTATCTTCAATATTAATGACGTTATGGTCAACTTCCGGTTTGAAATGTCAACATCATTTTGACATATTCTTAATTTTTATAAAATGTCTTAATATTTGTCACAAAAACAAAAATATAATATAAAAAATTAAGGTTGGTATTAATATTTAAAAATTAAATTGTCATCTTCATTGTTGCTAACTTCGGGTTTAACGTTTTTTATTCCAACTTTTTTGTTTTTTGAGATAAGTGCGTCATCTTTAGACTCATTTTAAAGGTTTTTCAATGAAGATGATAAATATGTCAAAATTGACGTTGACGTTTCAAACCGGAAGTGATCGTATCTCCATTAATATTAAAGTTAAATATGCCGAGTTTGGACTCATTTTAAAGGATTTTTTATGAAGTTGAGAAATATGTCAAAATTAAGGTTGACATAACAACATAAAAAACTCTAAAAGCGATAAAATGTCGCGTAAGCAAGTGATGTATAAAGCGGTCCAATTAATCTCTATTAATTATTAAACTTACTTTGAGATTGCGGTGAATCCCCTTTGCATTTGCGACCAATTCGATCCTGATTGTCCCAAATTAACAGCCCCTAAACATTTTAATTGGGTCGATAAAACGTCGTTATCTTTTGAGTAATTGTGGAATCGCTCGACGTTCGAATCGGCGATGTTTTTGATTTTTGAAATTATATTCACTAAAGTTTTAACTTGTTCTCGGTTCGATGCGAATTCTGTGTTATCTTTCGGCACCAATTCCTTGGGGTTACAAAAAATTAATTATTCGGATTAAATTATTTGTTTATTTACTTTTGAATTTGCTGCGTAATCTGACGTCATAAACTCATCTGGAGCTCTTCTAAATATGTCTCTAATCCGATATTGAACATCGTTTCCTTGATCGGTTAAAAAGAATATTAATAAGCCATCATTAGAAATCGTTGGGTGTCTACAAATAAGTGTTAACCACCGATTAAGACCACGACGGCGAGATTCTAAGAAATGCGAATCGGAAACTATTTTCTTTGGAGGTAAACGGGGGATAATTCTAAAAAATAAAGATTAAAATTAATCGCTTTAACAATTTTGTCATTTACCTATAAGGAAATCTACTTAATAATAACTCATACAACGCGACAAAATCGTTGTAACGCCTCGTAACTTTAACACCTCTCTTTTGGGAACTGACTATATACTCGGAATGTTTTAAAAATATTCCTTTTTTCTCTGGAACTAATTCGATGTTGATTGTCTCTAATTGGGTTATATCTAAATAGGTTAAATTTAATTTCGACGGGTTTTTTTGTAGGTTATAATAAATTTTTAAGCTTTTCAACGAACTCAAATCTCCTAAATTGGGAATTGGGTAAACTAAATAAAAAGAAATAATAAGAATCATAAAGAGAAATTTTTTTAATAAGTTACCTGTCCCATCGAAGGTTTCAAACAATTTATTGCTGGGATTTTTGCCTTGTTGACCCCAAGAAATTAACGCTAACGTTTTATAAAAACCAGTTCTTGTAATTACATCATTTTCAGTCACGATTAAATCGTAAATTGTTTTTAAAACTTCCACGTCCAGTTTTGATTGAGCTAACAGTTTTTTATACACATCTTTATGTATTATTTCACCGTCGTGTGAGCATGTATCATAGAGTTCTCGGTAAACGCTCGGAATAGAACCTAAAAAAAATCATTTAATTTATATTTTCATATTTTTTATATATCCTTCTTTTTTAAACAATTTCTCACCCCATCTAGCGGCAACCACCCTTACTATACAATAAATCAAATCAAATATTTACATAAAAAACTAACTCTGCCTATGAGGCAGGATGGGACCCAAGCCCGGATAAAAGAGGAAGGACCTCAGGTAAGGTCAGCAAACTGCCTCAATGTATCAAATTGCTTGTCAAAACTATATCGCTACCAACCCAACCTAACCCTGCTCGAAAGATATTAGATACTGCTACTTAAAGACAAGATACTGCTTGTAAAAGACTAGATATTGTTAACATGAAATTAGATCTTCCTTATAGAAGACAATATTCTGCTGGCAGAAGATTAGATTCTGTTATTGAGAGAGGTGGTACTAATAAAGCACTATTTAATGGTATCAGAATACTAAATATTACTGACAACAGGCAAGATAAAGCAAGCAGTGTATTAGATTCTGCTTGAGAAGACTAGAAATTGATGGCAAAAGACTAAATATAATGTTATTGAAAGAGTTGATAGCGCTAATAGAAGAGTAGAGACTGCCTATAGCTTGTAGATACTAGAAATGGTAAGCAGAAGCCTAAATCCTCCTCATAGAAGACTAAACCCTGCTCGCAGGCGACAAGATAATGCTTATAGAAGACCTTTTGCTTGTAAAAGACTAGATATTGTTGGCGGAATACAAAACACTTGCAAGCATTAAATTAGATCTTCCTTATAGAAGACAATATTCTGCTGGCAGAAGATTAGATTCTGTTATTGAGAGAGGTGGTACTAATAAAGCACTATCTAATGCTATGAGAATACCAAATATTACTGACAACAGGCAAGATAAAGCAAGCAGTGTATTAGATTCTGCTTGAGAAGACTAGAAATTGATGGCAAAAGACTAAATATAATGTTATTGAAAGAATTGATAGCGCTAATAGAAGAGTAGAGACTGCCTATAGCTTGTAGATACTAGAAATGGTAAGCAGAAGCCTAAATCCTCCTCATAGAAGACTAAACCCTGCTCGCAGGAGACAAGATAATGCCTATAGAAGACCTTTTGCTTGTAAAAGACTAGATATTGTTGACGGAATACAAAACACTTCACAAGACTAAATTTTGCAAGAATTAAATTAGATCTTCCGTATAGAAGACAATATTCTGCTGGCAGAAGATTAGATTCTGTTATTGAGAGAGGTGGTACTAATAAAGCACTTTCTAATGCTATGAGAATACCAAATATTACTGACAACAGGCAAGATAAAGCAAGCAGTGTATTAGATTCTCCTTGAGAAGACTAGAAATTGATGGCAAAAGACTAAATATGTTATTGAAAGAGTTGATAGCGCTAATAGAAGAGTAGAGACTGCCTATCGCTTGTAGATACTAGAAGTGGTAAGCAGAAGCCTAAATCCTCCTCATAGAAGACTAAACCCTACTCGCAGGAGACAAGATAATGCTTCTAGAAGACCTTTTGCTTGTAAAAGACTAGATATTGTTGGCGGAATACGAAACACTTCACAAGACTAAATTTTGCAAGAATTAAATTAGATCTTCCGTATAGAAGACAATATTCTGCTGGCAGAAGATTAGATTCTGTTATTGAGAGAGGTGGTACTAATAAAGCACTTTCTAATGCTATGAGAATACTAAATATTACTGACAATAGGCAAGATAAAGCAAGCAGTGTATTAGATTCTCCTTGAGAAGACTAGAAATTGATGGCAAAAGACTAAATATTTTATTGAAAGAGTTGATAGCGCTAATAGAAGAGTAGAGACTGCCTATAGCTTGTAGATACTAGAAATGGTAAGCAGAAGCCTAAATCCTCCTCATAGAAGACTAAACCCTGCTCGCAGGAGACAAGATAATGCTTATAGAATACTAGATGCAGTTGGCAGAGAACCAGATTCTTGTTATAAAACGCTAGATACTGCTGGCATATGACTAAACACTGCTAAAATATTGCTGGTAAAAGACACTTCTAATCTATTGTGGTAAATTTTTATAAAATCTAAGAATCAAGCAATGAGTCACTGCTAATTTTGTGAACAACACATAAAGTTATGATTCAAAATGATTAAAAGCAATTATTATTTGTTGTTTAATTTATTAATGTATATAAATTTGTGATTTTAACACTCATTTCCAAATTGATTTTAATAATTTTTGGGTAAAGTTATCGCCTCACAACGAGATTTTCTACGAATCCAACTTTCAACGAATTTTTAAATTAAACCGACGAGAATTATTAACCTTGAAACGTGCTAAAAATCGTGATAAACTTCAAAACTCATTATCTCAGGAAATAAATAATATTTTTCGTTATATCTAAGTTTACATAAAACGTCGAAAGATTTTTAAATTTAAAAATTTAATTACCTGCGCTAAAATCCGTTGTCATTCTCGTTCAAAAATAATTCTTGTAGTTTATTGGCAACTTTTAAATCCCATACTGAGTCGATTTCGATGCTGAGTTCCCTCGGGATTTCTACGAGAACGCATCTGGAACGAGAGCACGTACTATCGCTTTGGAAAGAGTTGATAACAGTTATATACAGGATGTCGTAATAATTTGTAAATTAAACGCGCGCGATCGCGTTACCACTGACATAGACAACTGAACAACAAATAAAAAAAACGAAGAGAAACAAATGCCTTGCTGGCGATTGTTTTGTCGTTTCACTCCTGCGCGGTAGCCACTTTCACTCGATTTCCGATTCTTTACGTGGAAAAGGTTAAATTCCATCAACAAACTTAAAGAACGTTGAAATGACTTAAATTAAAATCACGAAATCTATAAATAAATATGAAATTATCACGTTAAACATTAACAACGTAATAAATAATCGTTTAAACACAAGGTTATTTACTTGGAAGCGTTTTTAATTTTATAATTACCTCCGATTTTGAAAATATCCCGAATTTAATAACTTTCTCGTCGAAATATAAAACATTCCATTCTCCGTAAATTGATTCTTAATGTCTTGACGTCTCGGACGCGATTTTGGGTCAAAATTAACCGGAAATATCCCATTCGAAGTTCTCCCCCAATGCAATTTGGTATTCTTTGTGACTGCAAAACTACATTCTTCGCCCGATCTTAAAATCGAGACGCCCCTTTTTAAATGATTACGATTCAAAAAAGGCGAAGTGCATTGAACTAAGGCGAGGATGTCGATTTCTTTATGAAACGTTAGGAAATATTTTACTGCGTCAATCGACGACGAGAAATCCCCCGAAACATTATTATTTACGTTGTAATGAACGTTAACTCTTGATGCTTTTAATGCGATTTCTTCGTTATCAGTCGATACCCAAATCGAATCGAATACTTTAGCGGATTCGATTACACCCAATGATTTTTCTAGTAAGGTTAAATTTCCGATTAGAGATAAATTTTTTAATGGGATACTTTTTGATCCGCCTCTTGCTAAAATTAATGCCGCAAAATGTGTATTTCTTGGATGGAAGGGATTCCTAAAAATATAATTTATTTTAAATTTGACACCAAATTTTAGTTGAAAACTGTCAAATTGACTCAAAATTATTTAAAAATAAGCTATACCTTTAAAAATGATGAAAAAACTCAGTATAATCTTATTAAATAGATGTGTAAACTTGAAATTAACACAAAGAAGTAGAGAAATTTGTAATACTTGATGTCAAAACATCACTGTCAAAAATTAACTGTCAAATTAATAAATTTAAATTATAATATCTCTTAAAAATTTACGAATTAATGGAAAAAATCTCACCTAAATGTAATTTTAATCAGAAATTTACTTATAACGTTCAAAATCTATTTTAATAATGCAATTATAAATATTAATAAATGTTAATGTAATTGAATCGAACCTGTCAAAACCTGTGGATTTATCAACGTTAAACTAAAGTAATTTTTTAACTAAAACTGCTAAAATGAATCTAAATTTGATAAATAAAACGATTAATTATGTTAAATTAATATTTTTAGTTGTTTTATTTAAATATACATATAAAAATGAAGTGAGTAACGAAATGAAGTTAGTTAAAATGGAAACTGTCAATGATGTCAAATTTGCTTAAAGTTTATTTAAGTTTATTATTGTAATAAATAAAATAAAGGGTTTAGTTAACACCCCAAATTTTTGATTGAATAAAATTGCGTTAAGTTGTATATCCATTTTTCTTCAATTGGTGTGGAAAATGGTTTAAAAGGGAAAATGGAAATGTTGAGGTTAAGTTTGCATGGATAAAACATTCATCACGACAAATTAAGATATTTGTTGTTCAACGGAACATATTTTGATGAGTTTTTAATAAATAAAGCTTTGTTAGAAGAACGGAATGTTGGAATGAAAAATTTTGTAGAAAATTTATTGTGATTATAACATTATTTTCTTTCCGAACAACCTCAGTTGGAGTTTTTTAGAAATACGATTCAAAAGTGATTATTGTTATTAATAAATTCAGGAATCAAGAAGATGTAGTAGATCATTTCTTTCATAATCGTTGAATAAATAATATTGTTTAATCAAATTTAATTCTTAAGCAAATTAAGTTAACCCCAAATAAAAAAATAATACAACTTCAAATTAAAGAGGCTCAAATATAAAGTAATCTAAGCCTGATTCAACGGTTTTTTTTTGATTTTGAGGTTTATACCAAAACATTAGGAACATTTTTTTTGTGTTTATTCTTTCCTTAACAGGTGGGTCAATCCCTAAAAGTCTAATTTAATTAAATTTAACTCCTAAACAAGTTAAATTAACCCGAAATAAAAATAATGCAACTTCAAATCAAGGAAACCAAGTCGTAAAGAGGTTTAAATACAAAATAATTTAACCTCAAAGCCTGATTCAACAGTTCTTCTGATTTTGAGGTTGATGCCAAAACATTAGGAACATTTTCTTGGTGTTTATTCTTTCCTTAACAGGTGGGTGAGAGACATGTTGTGCAAACCATGTTTGTTTTGGAGAGAAGACCGAGATATGATATGATATAATGGGTTAAGCTGGACATATTTTCCTGTATGAATGATTTTAACAAACATGCATGGAATATTCTTTGATTTAACTATTTACCAGTCTATTTATTAACTCCTAAATGATACAAAGGTGTCCAAACTTTGAGAAATTATTTTCTGTTACTTTTCAAAATTCCATATTTTTCAAAGAATTAGGTTCGACTTGATAATCAAGAAGAATATCTAGTATTTATTGTCTTAATATACCGGCAATGAGGTGTGGTTATGTTATTGAATCATTAATTGAAGATGATACAAATTCAAGGTATAAAATTCGTTGGGTTTGATAATTTATTGATTGAATTAACAAAGAAAAGTTCTTATTTACCAAGTTTTTATGGTACAGCACAAAATGTTTTCAACCAACACCAACAAACATAAGAACGTTCTTAACATCTTTTAACCCTAACAAAAATATCTCTGAATAAAACGAAGCTGTATAACGGAATTAACCGTTTATCTAATTTATTAATATAAAGGTTGTTACAACTCGAATTTATTGATTAAACGGTTACTATAGTTTCAAATAGTTTTATCGTTGACACTGATTTTTATCACCTTTAAAAAATACTACTAATAAAAAGTTAAGAGATGGAGTGGCCGAGTAAAAATGTACCACACGGTGGTATTTTTCACACAGCGAAAGCTAATTATAGCCCCGATACAAAAAATTACCTCAAATGTGAGTTTTTATATGTTAAAAATTTTTTTTAGTTTATAATTAATTATTTAGTGTTAATGGATGAAAGTCATATGAACAATAAATTAAGAAACAAAGTGAATTACACTTTACGAAACGGCCAATCACTTCCAAAATTCGTATCGGATGGCCCAAAATATTACAGCGGGAAAAACCCTCAACCACCGGTGCTAATTCGACTATCAAATTGGGGTAAACGTAGCCGAGAAGCCATCGTTGGTTCGGGTGCTTATGATGTACCCCCGTTTGTTCCTGATCATTCGAAAGAGGATCGTGAAAAAGATAAAGAGCGATTACAAAAAATTATGGCGTTTGGGAAACCGAACGAAAGAGAAATTATAATTAAAAAGAAAAAAGCCCCACAACCGAAAAAGCAACTTAATAAATTTGATTTGAGTAAGTTATTTCTTAAAAATTGATTTAATTTATTAATTATTTTCTTTTTAAGTTGTGCAAGAGATAGAAGATCGACAAAATTGGTTAAAAGAAATCGAGGAATTAGGGGAAGGACACCAATATCGGGATCTAATTAACATGCAGATTCAAGAGAAATTACGGGAATTGGATCAATTAAAATCGAATTAATTCACCTGGAAATTAACGATTAAAATTTTATTTTCATCAAATCAATTCCAACTAAAACACAAAAGAATTAAAACATTTTTTGATTGTTTAAAATTTTTCCTTTTGATTTTAGAAGATAAATTTAATAATATTAATCAAATTGGAAGACGAGATTACAACCAAAAATAAACACAAGGTTACTTACTTATAAGCGTTTTTAATTTTATAATTATCTCCGATTTTGAAAATCCTCCGTAAATTGATTCTTGATGAATATCCTATTTGAAGTTATCCCCCAATGCAATTTGGTATTCTTTGTGACTGCAAAACTTGGATTCTTGGATGGAAGGGATTCCTAAAAATATAATAAGATAACCATAACGATAAAACCAAAATCAAATTTGACACAAAATTTTAGTTGAAAACTGCCAAATTGTGTCAAAATTGTTTAAGAATAAGCAATACCATTAAAAATGATGGGAAAAGTTGGTTTAATATATTAAATAGATATGTAAACTTGAAATTAACACAAAAAAGTAGAGAAATTTGTAATGCTTGATGAAGCTGTCACTGTCAAAAATTAACTGTCAAATTAATTAATTTAAACTGGGAAATCTCTTAAAAATTTACGAATTAATGGAAAAAATCTCACCTACATATAATTTTAATCAAAAATTTATTTATAATGCTCAAAATCTCTTTTAATAATGACTAAATTTATAACACTGAAGATAACTGAATGTAATTGAATCGAACCTGTCAAAACCTGTGGATTTATCAACGTTAATCTAAAGTAATTTTTTAACTAAAACTGCCAAAATGAATCTAAATTTGATAAATAAAAGGATTAATTATGTTAAATTAATATTTTTAGTTGCTTTATTTAAATATATGTACATACAAAAATGAAGTGTGTAACGAAATGAAGTTAGTTAAAATGGAAACTGTCAATGATGTCAAATTATAAAGTTTATTTAAGTTTATTATTGCAATAAATATAATAAAGGGTTAGTTAGCACACCAAATTTTTGTTTGAATAAAATTGCATTAAGTTGTAGGTCAATTTTTCTTCAATTCGTGTGGAAAATGTTTTAAAAGGGAAAATGGAAATGTTGAGGTTAAGTTTGCATCGATAAAACTTTCATCACGACAAATTAAGATATTTGTTGTTCAACGGAACTTATTTCGATGAGTTTTTAATAAATAAAGCTTTGTTAGAAGAACGGAATGTTGGAATGAAAAGTTTTGTAGAAAATTTGTGGTTATAACGTTATTTTGTTTCCGAACAACCTAAGTTGAAGTTTTGTATAAATACGATTCAAAAGTGATTGTTGTTATTAATAAATTGAGGAATCATGTAGATGTAGTAGATCATATCTTCCACTACTTGTATAATTTATAATTGTTGATTCAGATTGGCTCCCGAGTTCACAGAAAGGTACATTTTTATTAAAAATCGTTCTTTATTGTAACTCTGGAAATTGCAATTCTAAAACAATCCAATTCAACTGTTTATAACTCAAATTTGACTCGACCTAAACCTTGCAATGACAATTGAATTAAAGTAAGCTTGAAATCTAGCTATATTAAAACCATAATATGAATTCTATCTGGAGATTTGCTGTGATCTCATCTTTAAAAGTAATATAAGCAAATTTAACTCTTAAGCAAGTTAAGGTAACCCCAAATAAACAATAATACAACTTCAAATCAAAGAAACCAAGTCCCAAAGAGGCTTAAATTCAAAATAATGTTATTAACATGGGGATTTAAGGGAATTGGATCAATTAAAATTGAATTAATTCACCGGGAAATTAATGATTAAAATTTTATTTTCATCAAATTGATTCCAACTAAATAACACAAAAGAATTAAAACATTTTTTGATTGTTTAAAATTTGTCTTTTTGATTTTAGAAGATAAATTTAATAATAATGAATTGAAATCAAATTGGAAGACGAGATTACAACCAAAAATAATTAAATAAATTAATTTTCGACTTTTTGATTTGATTCGATAAACTTTTTCGGTAACATTTTCGGTTTAATCGTGTGCGTCATCCCGCCAAAAGCCCGAAAACTCAACGGATTCATTCTTTCGGCGTCCCTAACCAATTTTTTTAATTGATCCAGGTTATAAACGGCCAAAGGAATCCAAATTGATAACATTAATATCCCAAAAATCGATGATATACACGAGACGTACACTAAAAAATTAATAATTAATTTCAAATCAAAAAAAAAGTATTTGATGTAAGTAAATTTAGGCATTTACGTAATTTCTCTTTGGGTAAAAGCATTAATTCCTTCCAATAACCGTTTATGGCAAATAGAAAAGTGGCGGAAATTCCTGTTAAAAACGATGAGAAGAAAAATGGGACGCTGAATAACGGTTTCGATTTTAAAATTGAGTATAAAGAGAAAATTGCGCCGAGGAAATTTATGGTTGATGTCTCACACATTTGATAAATACTTGAAACCAAAACTAAAACAATAATGAATCAATTAATTTATAAAAAATGTTAAAAAAAAACTTACAAATAGTTTTTTCCATGTTCTCGCATAATTTAGCTTCATTCGGCGCAAAAATAACGCTACCATTATGAAGATGCTTTCTTTTACCTAATTCTTCAACATAATCTTCGTTTAATAACTCAGCGCGAAATTTAACTTCGATAAACATCATGATACAAGCGATTAAACTCAAACTTAAAAAAATCTGAAATTCAACTTAATTAATTTTGGAAATAAAAAAAATTATTTCTTACCGTCCATAAAATCGCACAAACTATAGCATGGGGTTTTGATGGTTTAAAGCAACAAAAAGAAACAAGAAATTTGCTTGGTTCTTTTTGTACTTGAACCGTCATTTCGCTTTTTTGTTGTTCTTATCAAGTTTAATTTAATTTTTAAATGATCGGTACAATTTTTTACTTGGTGGACCTTCCCGTTTGAAAATCCTGATGTGAACTGATGGTTTCAAAGTTTTAATGTGGTCTGGGAACCCGCGAAAGATCAATACCCGTACGAAACGGCGCAGGACGATAAGAAAATTTAGTATGTGTGCGTGTGCTGTGGTCAAATTTAACATAACAAGGGAAAAAATTCTTTATGCTAAGAGATGAAAAAGATAAAATAAAAAATTAATATTTTTTGGCTTGTATTTAAAAAATCGTATAAAATCGATTTGGTACAGAATCGCTTTGAAAATGATACAAGTGATAAAGAAAGGTGTGATCTTTTAAATGAAAAAAACCGTTTTTGAAAATATCATTTAGTTTTTGAAATAATAAATCTTGAAGTCAACCAAAATTTTCATGATAAGAAACTGTTTTCTTTGTATTTAAAAAATCGCTAAAAATCTATTTCTTGGAACGTTAGTGTGGAAATTGAAACTATTTATAAAAGAAAGTGTGCCCTTTTTAATGCAAAAATCTGATTTTGAAAATATCATTTAGTTTTTGAGATAATAAGTCTTGAAGTCAACCAAAATTTTCATGATAAGTTAGTATTTTGTTTGTATTTAAAAAATCGCTAAAAATCTATTTCTTGGAACATTAACTTGGAAATTAAAACCACTTATAAACGAAAGTGTGCCCTTTTTAATGTAAAAATCCGATTTTGAAAATATCATTTAGTTTTTGAGATAATAAATCTTGAAGTCAACCAAAATTTTCATGATAAATCACTGTTTTGTTTGTAATTAAAAAATCGCTAAAAATTTATTTCTTGGAGCATTAATCTGAAAACTGAAAGAATTTATAAAAGGAAGTGTGCCCTTTTTAATGCAAAATCCGATTTTGAAAATATCATTTAGTTTTTGAGATAATAAGTTTTGAAATCAACCAAAATTTTCATGATAAGTCACCGTTTTGCTTGCATTTAAAAAATCGCTAAAAATCTATTTCTTGGAACATTAAATTTAAAATTGAAACAACTTATAAAAGGAAGTGTGCCCTTTTAAATGCAATAATCCGATTTTGAAAATATCATTTAGTTTTTGAGATAATAAGTCTTGAAGTCAACCAAAATTTTCATGATAAATCACTGTTTTGTTTGTATTTAAAAAATCGCTAAAAATTCATTTCTTGGAGCATTAATCTGAAAACTGAAATAATTTATAAAAGGAAGTGTGCCCTTTTAAATGCAAAAATCCGATTTTGAAAATATCATTTAGTTTTTGAGATAACAAGTCTTGAAGTTAACCAAAATTTTCATGATAAATCACCGTTTTCTTTGTAATTAAAAAATTGCTAAAAATTCATTTCTTGGAGCATTAATCTGAAAACTGAAAGAATTTATAAAAGGAAGTGTGCCCTTTTAAATGCAATAATCCGATTTTGAAAATATCATTTAGTTTTTGAGATAATAAATCTTGAAGTCAACCAAAATTTTCATGATAAATCACTGTTTTGTTTGTATTTAAAAAATCGCTAAAAATCTATTTCTTGGAGCATTAATCTGAAAATTGAAAGAATTTATAAAAGGAAGTGTGCCCTTTTTAATCCAAAAATTCGATTTTGAAAATATCATTTAGTTTTTGAGATAATAAATCTTGAAGTCAACCAAAATTTTCATGATAAATCACTGTTTTGTTTGTATTTAAAAAATCGCAAAAAAATTATTTCTTGGAGCATTAATCTGAAAACTGAAAGAATTTATAAAAGGAAGTATGCCCTTTTAAATGCAATAATCCGATTTTGAAAATATCATTTAGTTTTTGAGATAATAAGTCTTGAAGTTAACCAAAATTTTTATGATAAATCACTTTAAAAAATCGCGAAAAATCTATTTCTTGGAACATTGATTTTAAAATTGAAACAACTTATAAAAGGAAGTGTGCCCTTTTTAATGCAAAAATCCGATTTTGAAAACATCATTTAGTTTTTGAGATAACAAGTCTTGAAGTCAACCAAAATTTTCATGATAAATCACTGTTTTCTTTGTATTTAAAAAATCGCTAAAAATCTATTTCTTGGAACATTAATCTGGAAATTAAAACAACTTATAAAAGAAAGTGTGCCCTTTTTAATGCAAAAATCCGATTTTGAAAATATCATTTAGTTTTTGAGATAATAAGTCTTGAAGTCAACCAAAATTTTCATGATAAATCACTGTTTTGTTTGTATTTAAAAAATCGCTAAAAATCTATTTCTTGGAACATTAATCTGGAAATTGAAACAATTTATAAAAGAAAGTGTGCCCTTTTTAATGCAAAAATCCGATTTTGAAAATATCATTTAGTTTTTGAGATAATAAGTCTTGAAGTCAACCAAAATTTTCATGATAAATCACTGTTTTGTTTGTATTTAAAAAATCGCTAAAAATCTATTTCTTGGAACGTTAGTGTGGAAATTGAAACTATTTATAAAAGAAAGTGTGCCCTTTTTAATGCAAAAATCCGATTTTGAAAATATCATTTAGTTTTTGAGATAATAAATCTTGAAGTCAACCAAAATTTTCATGATAAGTCACTGTTTTGTTTGTATTTAAAAAATCGCTAAAAATCTATTTCTTGGAACATTAATCTGGAAATTGAAACAATTTATAAAAGAAAGTGTGCCCTTTTTAATGCAAAAATCCGATTTTGAAAATATCATTTAGTTTTTGAGATAATAAGTCTTGAAGTCAACCAAAATTTTCATGATAAGTCACTGTTTTGTTTGTATTTAAAAAATCGCTAAAAATCTATTTCTTGGAACATTAATCTGGAAATTAAAACAACTTATAAAAGAAAGTGTGCCCTTTTTAATGCAAAAATCCGATTTTGAAAATATCATTTAGTTTTTGAGATAATAAGTCTTGAAGTCAACCAAAATTTTCACAAGTTACTATTTTGTGTGTATTTAAAAAATCGCTAAAAATCTATTTCTAGAATATTAACTTGGAAATTAAAACCACTTGTAAACGAAAGTGTGCCCTTTTTAATGCAATAATCCGATTTTGAAACTATCATTTAGTTTTTGAGATAATAAGTCTTGAAGTCAACCAAAATTTTCACAAGTTACTATTTTCTTTGTATTTAAAAAATCGCTAAAAATCTATTTCTTGGACATTAATTTGGAAATTGAAAACACTTATAAAAGAAAGTGTGCCCTTTTTAATGCAATAATTAGATTTTAAAAATATCATTTAGTTTTTGAGATAATACGTCTTGAATTCAACCAAAATTTTCATGATAAATCACCGTTTCCTTTGTAATTAAAAAATCGCTAAAAATTTATTTCTTGGAGCATTAATCTGAAAATTGAAAGAATTTATAAAAGGAAGTGTGCCCTTTTTAATGCAAAAATCCGATTTTGAAAATATCATTTAGTTTTTGTGATAATAAGTCTTGAAATCAACCAAAATTATCGTGATAAGTCATTGTATTCTTTGTGCTAAAAATCTATTTACTGGAACATTAATCTGGCAATTGAAACCACTTATAAAAGAAAGCGTGCGCTTTTTAATGCAACAATCCGATTTTGAAAATACCATTTAGTTTTTGAGATAATCAGTATTGAAGTTAACCAAAATTGTCAAAGTTAAGCATTTTAAAAAAATCGTTAGAAATCCATTTTTTATACAAATCCCTCTGAAAGTTATGTCACTTATAAAGAAAAGTCTTGTCTCTTTAATGAAAAACTCCGCTTTTGAAAATATTATTCAGTTTTTGAGATAATCATTTTTAAACTGGTGGACTCAAATTACTCAATAACACTTTATTTACAAAGTACTAATTTACAAAAGAATGTTTTAATACAATTTTTTTTCAATAAAACCGTCTTTTTGGCAGCATGTTTTAGCCGGCTACTCTAACGTATAAATACAAAAAAAAATAAATATAGCTATATAAATACAGATTTAAAAGTTTCAAGTCAGTCCGATCCAAAATTTTTAACCATTCCTCCTTTTCACGTTATTAAAATCCATTTGATTCGGTAATTCGTCCGAAATTTCCCCATAACTTACATTAGACATTAACATTTCATCTAATTGATCCCCCCGAATAGATTTTTCATTCAATTTTTTCCTCAAAAACCTGAAAGAAAATTTTATTAATAAATTTAATTTATTGATTTAAATTACTTACTTTATTTCACTTGGAACCACTTCAATTCGAACAATTTTAGTTCCATCTAAATCGGGTAATAATAAATTTTTTTCATCTTCTTTAGCATCTTTACCTTCCAATTTAAATCCATTCGATTTTATCGAATAAATTTTTACTAAATTTACATCTTTCGTTTTTAATTTATTCGGCAACAATTCCGATTTAAAATCTAATTTATTATCAATTTTTTGTTTCTTATTAACGTTATTAATTAGAATTAAATTTTGTGTGGGTTTTTTTAGGATCGTTGTGTAAACATCATCAATTGGATCTTTTGCATAAATTGGTCTATTATTATTGTTGTTATTAACAAATTGAGGATTAAATAAATAATTGGGTGATTTCGTGGTGAATTTAAAATTAGAAAATTGAGGTCGATCGGTTGGAAAATTTTGGAAATTCGTTTTTTTAGTGGTAAAGTCCTCGTTAATCTCGTCATAACCAACATCTTGTACGTAATTTCTCGTCGTCGAAGTAAATTTATTTTGATTCGATGAAATAAAAATCGGCACGTCGTAAAAGTCTTTAATTGAAGTCGTCGTCGTCTTTTTGAGTTGATACCCGGTCACAAAATAATTCGGTTTTGAAGTCGTCGTTTTTGTATTAATCAAATAAATCGGATTATTGTTTAATTTTTTGGTGGTTTGGTACAAAAAGGAAAGTCGATTTGGGTCGTAATTCGCGCATGGTTTGTTTTGGTCGCAATTTTTGTCGAAATAAAGTCTGTCAGTCAAATAAGTCTCGTCTTTGTCTAAATAAAACGTGGGATCGTCTAAAAATGGTCTCTTCTCGTCTTTTATGTAAAGTCTGTCGGTGTGTAAAGGTCGTTTTTGGATGTTATTATTGTTTAATTGTGGTTTGGAGGGTTCAAAATTACCCCCTAATACATAATTAATGTTAACGTTAACTTGATAGTTAGGTTTTTCTTTGAACTCTTTTTGAGCGTTGTTAACTAAATCGTTTTTGTTATCATTTTTTGATGAATTATGAATTAATAATGGAATTAATGTTAATTTATCTTCTTCATCTTTCAATTTTACTTCTAATTCTTGCGTTTGAGTAGCAATTTTTGGCTTTTTAGTTGAACTTTTTCTCTTTTTTATTGGCTTTCTTCGGTGTTCCTCATAATCATAAGAATCGTCGTAATAATCCTCGATGGTGTCAATGATATACTCCCCAATACTCCTCGCTTTATCTTTATGACCCAAATTCCTCTTAAATTTTAATCGATTCTCATCGAATTCACTAAAATCTCGCCAATACTCCAAATTTAGCCCGTTAGAAACAATTTCATCGCAAGATATCCTCGGATTTTTATCATCATCAGCCAACAAAAAGACAAAATTTTGAATCGAATCAACACTTTTAAGCACGCCACATAAAATTTCCGCCAAAGAAACCTTCCTAATCTCGTTTAATTGCTCCAAATTAAACGAGGACTCAAATCCGGCATTTTCGTACCAAAATCGATCCCCTTTTCGGTAATTCAAGAACTGTTGGGCCACTATACAAGCAAAAACCGGCCCAATTAGCCCCCCCCGAACCGATTTTTCCGATAACCCCCCCGTATAAAGATCGATATCATCAACATCCTCAAATAACAGCTTAAATTTAACCGCAGTTTCCTTCGGGATTACTTTCCCCAAATCCAAAAACGTTTTTAAAGGCGTCAACCCACAAGGAGCCCTCCAAGACGTGTAAGGGGGCAACCCATGATCTCGCCCCCTTTGAACATTAACCGAAGCCAAATCAACCCCAAACGCCCCACCCGGACTTTGAAATAAATGCCTGGTTAACTCCTCACTTATAAATTCATCCCTAACTTGAGAAGGTTGATTAATTACCCCCAAAATAATCCGGTGCAAAGAACCCGGCGTTAAAGTATCCCGAAAATTCGTCACTTCCTCGTGAAGCGAAACATCTAAAAAAAGAAATTAATAAAACCAATCCAATTTAATCAAAAATAATTACTCTCAAAAACCATCCTATCCCTTAAAATCGAATTAGGCACCAAACTATGCCCGAATCGAAACGCAGCGGTCGAAAACTCATTCGAAGTCGTTGGATTAACACTCTCATCATAACCCCCATAAAAACCATCCCTCAACAACTTCAATTCAAACAACTCAATCACTTCGCTCCCTAAAACGATCGGGAGAAACTCCCTATAAGTAATATGTTGGATTAAAGCAGCTATTATTCTTCGAGTTTCTTGGTAAATCTTCTCATCGCTCCAATGCGGGTTAAACTCAGCCAATTCTTCGGCGATTTTGTTATGGAATTTAACCCAAATTGTGTGTAACGCCGTTAAAGCGGGTTGCTCGCTGAATCTTTTATCCCCCGATGAAAAGCAACTTGAAGAAATCGCCCCAAAATGGCAATTCTTATTTTGATTCCCAAAAATTAATTGTCCCCTTTTAAGCGTTCTTAATGATTCTGCTTTATTGACGTCACTTCCGTAAATCATTGATGCGTCAATAAACGATGTCGCTTGGTTGATTTGTTCTCTCCAACCCAATTTGCAATTAATTCGCGTTGCTGGCGCGCTTCGTACGAATTCCATGCATCTCACGCCGAATTTGTTGAAGAAAACGTCGGTTTCCGGTACGGAAATTGGCATACATTCGGGATGCTACAAAAAAACGATTTGTTTTGGATTAAAATGTTTTCTTTATTTACCATAAATTCGAACGGAAGAATCCCGGAGCCACCAGGAAGACAACATCTTGGAATTGAGGTGTTAAAAGCTCGCGAAGAAACCGTTGAGGTTATATCGTGATCTAAAAATTGGCCCCATTGCATTAACATTAATGATAAAGTTGGAGTTTCAATGTTGCGTTGTTGGTGGATGTTGGCGCTTATTAATCGTGGGGATGGTAAAGGTGATCCGAATATTGAACGTCTTTCACTTTGAATGCCTATAATAAACGAATAAAAAATTATTAAAAAAAAGGCGACTCCATCAGATAACGTTATTGAGAGTGATTATATCCTAGACAGACTAAATCCAATCCAAAATATATTGACAAGAAGTATAATTGGAATCAGTGAGTGTTTTCTCAAATTTGATATGATGTAAGCAAGAATTGCACACTAGAAATTGGGAATGATGAACTATTTGGATTTATTGCAATCAATGATTTGGAGATGAGTCCAATAACTCCAATTTTGAAGTGAAGACGATTCTGGAGTCTTCTAGCCCAAGGCTTTGCGCAATATATTAATATTGAGTTAATATTGAGTTGCTCTAATAAGACTTGCACTTTTGTTATCACAAAAAAACTTTTATAACAAAAATTGTAGAAAATCTTATTCTTAGTAATATTATTCTTTTGCACTTTTGCTCAGAAATGCATAGATATTGAGAAAAATACGAAAATATGAAAATTTGATGAATTTCGTTATTTCACACGTCGGTAATGGAAGCACTTTAGAAACGGATCATGTTACAAAAAAAATTTTACAACAAAAGTTGTAGACAATTTTATAGTTAGCAATATTGCTCTTCTGTACTTTTGCTCTGAAATGCATAGATATTAAGAAAAATACGAAAATATGAGAATTTGATGAATTTCGTTATTTCACACGTCGGTAATGGTAGCACTTTAGAAACGGAGCATGTTACAAAAAAACTTTTAGGGCNAAAAATTGGCCCCATTGCATTAACATTAATGATAAAGTTGGAGTTTCAATGTTGCGTTGTTGGTGGATGTTGGCGCTTATTAATCGTGGGGATGGTAAAGGTGATCCGAATATTGAACGTCTTTCACTTTGAATGCCTATAATAAACGAATAAAAAGTTATTAAGAAAAGGCGACTCCATCCAAAATCCAAAATAGTGTTTTCTCAAATTTTATACGATGTAAGCAAGAATTGCACACTAGAAATTGGGAATGATGAACTATTTGGATTTATTGCAATCAATGATTTGGAGATGAGTCCAAAAATTCCAATTTTGAAGTGAAGATGCTTCTGGAGTCTTCTAGCTCAAGGCTTTGTGCAATATATTAATATTGAGTTGTTGCTCTAATAAGACTTACACTTTTGTTATTACAAAAAAACTTTTAGAACCAAAGTTGTAGAAAATCTTATTCTTAGCAATATTGCCCTCTTGCACTTTTGGTCTGAAATGCATAGATATTGAGAAAAATACGAAAATATGAAAATTTGAAGAATTTCGTTATTTCACACGTAGGCAATGGTAGTACTAGAGAAACGGAGCATGTTACAAAAAAACTTTTAGAATAAAAGTTGTAGAAAATCTTATTCTTAGCAATATTGCTCTCTTGCACTTTTGCTCAGAAATGCATAGATATTGAGAAAAATACGAAAATATGAAAATTTGATAAATTTCGTTATTTCACTCGTTGGTAATGGTAGCACTTTAGAAACGGAGCATGTTACAAAAAAACTTTTACAACAAAAATTGTAGAAAATCTTATACTTAGCAATATTGCTGTTTTGCACTTTTGCTCTGAAATGCATTGATATTGAGAAAAATACGAAAATATAAAAATTTGATGAATTTCGTTATTTCACACGTCAGCAATGGTAGCACTTGAGAAACGGAGCATGTTACAAAAAACTTTTTAGGGTAAAAGTTGTAGATAATTTTCTTCTTAACAATATTGATCTCTTGCACTTTTGCGCTGAAATGCATAGATATTGAGAAAAATACGAAAATATGAAAATTTGATGAATTTCGTTATTTCACACGTCGGTAATGGAAGCACTTTAGAAACGGATCATGTTACAAAAAAAATTTTACAACAAAAGTTGTAGACAATTTTATAGTTAGCAATATTGCTCTTCTGTACTTTTGCTCTGAAATGCATAGATATTAAGAAAAATACGAAAATATGAGAATTTGATGAATTTCGTTATTTCACTCGTTGGTAATGGTAGCACTTTAGAAACGGAGCATGTTACAAAAAAACTTTTACAACAAAAATTGTAGAAAATCTTATACTTAGCAATATTGCTCTCTTGCATTTTTGCTCTGAAATGCATTGATATTGAGAAACATACGAAAATATGAAAATTTGATGAATTGCGTTATTTCACTAGTTGGTAATGGTAGCACTTGAGAAACGGAGCATGTTACAAAAAAACTTTTAATACAAAAGTTGTAGAAAATCTAATACTTAGCAATATTGTTCTCTTACAGTTTTGTTCTGAAATGCATAGATATTGAGAAAAATACGAAAATATGAAAATTTGATGAATTTCGTTATTTTACTTGTTCATGGTAACACTTGGGAAATGGAGCATGTTACAAAAAAACTTTTAATACAAAAGTTGTAGAAAATCTAATACTTAGCAATATTGCTCTCTTACAGTTTTGTTCTGAAATGTATAGGTATTGAGAAAAATACGAAAATATGAAAATTTGATGAATTTCGTTATTTTACTTGTTCATAGTAACACTTGGGAAATGGAGCATGTTACAAAAAAACTTTTAGGGTAAAAGTTGTAGCTAATTTTCTTCTTAGCAATATTGCTCTCTTGCACTTTTGCTGTGAATTGCATAGATATTGAGAAAAATACGAAAATATGAGAATTTGATGAATTTCGTTATTTCACATGTCAGCAATGGTAGCACTTGAGAAACGGAGCATGTTACAAAAAACTTTTTAGGGTAAAAGTTGTAAATAATTTTCTTCTTAACAATATTGATCTCTTGCACTTTTGCGCTGAAATGCATAGATATTGAGAAAAATATGAAAATTTGATGAATTTCGTTATTTCACTCGTTGGTAATGGTAGCACTTGAGAAACGGAGCATGTTACAAAAAAACTTTTTAAACAAAAATTGTAGAAAATCTTATACTTAGCAATATTGCTGTCTTGCACTTTTGCTCTGAAATGCATGGATATTGAGAAAAATACGAAAATATGACAATTTGGTGAATTTCGTTATTTTACTTGTTCATGGTAACACTTGGGAAATGGAGCATGTTACAAAAAAACTTTTAGGGTGAAAGTTGTAGCTAATTTTCTTCTTAGCAATATTGCTCTCTTGCACTTTTGCTCTGAATTGCATAGATATTGAGAAAAATACGAAAATATGAGAATTTGATGAATTTCGTTATTTTACTCGTTCATGGTAACACTTGGGAAACGGAGCAAGTTGTAAAAAAACTTTTGGAACAATAGTTATAGCAAATTTTATTCTAAACAATATTGACCTATTGCACTTTTACTCTTAGATGCATAGGTATTGAGAGAAATACGAAAATATGAAAATTTGATGAATTTCGTTATTTCACTCGTTGGTAATGGTAGCAATTGAGAAACGGAGCATGTTGCAAAAAAACTTTTAAGGCGAAAGTTGTAGCTAATTTTCTTCTTAGCAATGTTGATCTCTTGCACTTTTGCGCTGAAATGCATAGATATCGAGAAAAATACGAAAATATGAGAATTTGATGAATTTCGTTATTTCACTCGTTGGTAATGATAGCACTTGAGAAACGGAGCATGTTACAAAAAAACTTTTTAAACAAAAATTGTAGAAAATCTTATACTTAGCAATATTGTTCTGTTGCACTTTTGCTCTGAAATGCATAGATATTGAGAAAAATACGAAAATATGAGAATTTGATGAATTTCGTTATTACACTCGTTGGTAATGATAGCACTTGAGAAACGGAGCATGTTACAAAAAAACTTTTTAAACAAAAATTGTAGAAAATCTTATACTTAGCAATATTGTTCTGTTGCACTTTTGCTCTGAAATGCATAGATATTGAGAAAAATACGAAAATATGAGAATTTGATGAATTTCGTTATTACACATGTCAGCGATGGTAGCAATTGAGAAACGGAGCATGTTGCAAAAAAACTTTTAGGGTGAAAGTTGTAGCTAATTTTCTTCTTAGCAATATTGCTTTCTTGCACTTTTGCTCTGAATTGCATAGATATTGAGAAAAATACGAAAATATGAGAATTTGATGAATTTCGTTATTACACATGTCAGCAATGGTAGCACTTGAGAAACGGAGCATGTTACAAAAAAACTTTTAGGGTGAAAGTTGTAGATAATTTTCTTCTTGACAATATTGCTCTCTTACACTTTTGCTTTGAAATGCATAGATATTGAGAAAAATATAAAAATATGAAAATTTGATGAATTTCGTTATTTCACTCGTTGGTAATGGTAGCACTTGAGAAACGGAGCATGTTACAAAAAAACTTTTAAAACAAAAATTGTAGAAAACCTTATACTTAACAATATTGTTTTCTTGCACTTGTGCTCTGAAATGCATTGATATTGAGAAAAATACGAAAATATGAAAATTTTATGAATTGCGTTATTTCACTAGTTGGTAATGGTAGCACTTGAGAAACGGAGCATGTTACAAAAAAACTTTTAATACAAAAGTTGTAGAAAATCTAATACTTAGCAATATTGTTCTCTTACAGTTTTGTTCTGAAATGCATAGATATTGAGAAAAATACGAAAATATGAAAATTTGATGAATTTCGTTATTTTACTTGTTCATGGTAACACTTGGGAAATGGAGCATGTTACAAAAAAACTTTTAGGGTGAAAGTTGTAGCTAATTTTCTTCTTAGCAATATTGCTCTCTTGCACTTTTGCTCTGAATTGCATAGATATTGAGGAAAATACGAAAATATGAGAATTTGATGAATTTCGTTATTTCACACGTCAGCAATGGTAGCACTTGAGAAACGGAGCATGTTACAAAAAACTTTTTAGGGTAAAAGTTGTAGATAATTTTCTTCTTAACAATATTGATCTCTTGCACTTTTGCGCTGAAATGCATAGATATTGAGAAAAATATAAAAATATGAAAATTTGATGAATTTCGTTATTTCACTCGTTGGTAATGATAGCACTTGAGAAACGGAGCATGTTACAAAAAAACTTTTTAAACAAAAATTGTAGAAAATCTTATACTTAGCAATATTGTTCTGTTGCACTTTTGCTCTGAAATGCATAGATATTGAGAAAAATACGAAAATATGAGAATTTGATGAATTTCGTTATTACACATGTCAGCGATGGTAGCAATTGAGAAACGGAGCATGTTGCAAAAAAACTTTTAGGGTGAAAGTTGTAGCTAATTTTCTTCTTAGCAATATTGCTTTCTTGCACTTTTGCTCTGAATTGCATAGATATTGAGAAAAATACGAAAATATGAGAATTTGATGAATTTCGTTATTACACATGTCAGCAATGGTAGCACTTGAGAAACGGAGCATGTTACAAAAAAACTTTTAGGGTGAAAGTTGTAGATAATTTTCTTCTTGACAATATTGCTCTCTTACACTTTTGCTTTGAAATGCATAGGTATTGAGAAAAATATAAAAATATGAAAATTTGATGAATTTCGTTATTTCACTCGTTGGTAATGGTAGCACTTGAGAAACGGAGCATGTTACAAAAAAACTTTTAGGGTGAAAGTTGTAGATAATTTTCTTCTTAACAATATTGCTCTGTTACACTTTTGCTTTGAAATGCATAGATATTGAGAAAAATATAAAAATATGAAAATTTGATGAATTTCGTTATTTCACTCGTTGGTAATGGTAGCACTTGAGAAACGGAGCATGTTACAAAAAAACTTTTTAAACAAAAATTGTAGAAAATGTTATACTTAGCAATATTGTTCTCTTGCACTTTTGCTCTGAAATGCATAGATATTGAGAAAAATACGAAAATATGAGAATTTGAGGAATTTCGTTATTTTACTCGTTCATGGTAACACTTGGGAAACGGGGCAAGTTGCAAAAAAACTTTTGGAACAATAGTTATAGCAAATTTTATTCTAAACAATATTGACCTATTGCACTTTTACTCTTAGATGCATAGGTATTGAGAAAAATACGAAAATATGAAAATTTGATGAATTTCGTTATTTCACTCGTTGGTAATGGTAGCAATTGAGAAACGGAGCATATTGCAAAAAAACTTTTAAGGCGAAAGTTGTAGCTAATTTTCTTCTTAGCAATATTGATCTCTTGCACTTTTGCGCTGAAATGCATAGATATCGAGAAAAATACGAAAATATGAGAATTTGATGAATTTCGTTATTTCACTCGTTGGTAATGATAGCACTTGAGAAACGGAGCATGTTACAAAAAAACTTTTAGAACAAAAGTTGTAGCTAATTTTATTACTAACAGTATTGCTCTATTGCACTTTTGCTCTCAGATGCATAGATATCGAGAAAAATACAAAAATATGCAAATTTGATGAATTTCGTTATTTTATTCGTTATTAATGGTAGCATTTGAGAAACAGAGCATGTTACAAAAAAACTTTCTGAATGAAAGTTGTAGCTAATTTTCTTCTTAGCAATATGGCTCTCTTGCACTTTTGTCCTTAGATGCCTCAATATGAAGAAAAATGCGAAAATATGAAAATTTTATCGGTTTCTTAATTCCGGTATCATTTTTAACGCAGATAAAAGTGAATTTGAAGTAAAACAAAGCAATTTCATCAAAATCTAATGAGCTGCTAGAACAATATTCAGATAGTAGATCTACAAACTCAGATTCAGAAAAAGTTATTTGATTTAGCTGATTTTTGATAACAAATTTTTTGAAAATTAATTACTAATAATTAAAAAAAATATATTTACCATCATCATAAACTGGAGGAAGAAATCGTTGAAGCGGTGATAACGCAGTTCCTAATCGTGGAAATTTAAGATTGTTACAACTTCCATCCGCCGTTCGATATCGTTTCGAAGCCAATCCGCATCTTGGAACCGCTTTGAACGGACATTGTTCGTCAAGGATGACATTGGTTAAATCTTGGAGATCTTCGTTTTGTCTACTGAGTTGAAGCGGGTTTCTGTAGCAACAGAATGGTTTTGTTGAGAAACTGAGAGCTTTCGCGGCTTTCTAAACCTATAAATATGAACTCGAAATCCCCCTACTTTCAAAACTACAAACGAACGAAACGACAACTTTCTCATCTCGATTTTACAAGATATAAACGTTTGCAATGAACGTTTATGTCAAGGTTTTCTCTTTGACGGAATTCACGGAATGTCTCACTCGTTAAATTATTAACGGAAATGGAAAAGAAATTTTCTCGGCAAGAAACAACATTTTTTTTAACTGTAATAAGGAAGTTATTATTTAAATTGTTTCAATTAAAGTTAATAAGTTATGGTTTATGTTTAAATAAATTTAAATATTAAAATCGATTCGTTTCAAATCGATATTTTGATTCGATTCGTTTGTAATGTTATTATTTCTTAATCCTTTTCGAATTAAGTTAGGTTTTTTACCTTTGCGCCAAGCGTAACGTTGCTTGAACGGTTGCAAATCCGTATTTCGATTGCAAAGTGGCTTTGATGTTTGGTGCTTTAAAGGTTGCAAGTTTTGCTGCGGGTTCGGTTGGATCTAAATAGAAACCTTCCAAAAACAAATATAAAAGTATAAAAAAACTTTATCAATTTGTTTCTTACCCATTTTATAAAGGAGAGGTTCTTTAACATTATAAAGTTCTTGCATCACATTAAATCCTTCTAAAACAGCGTCGTTTATTTCAGTTTTATCGTCAAAAAAATCTTGATCTTTGTTTTCTAATGCGTCAGTAAAATTTTTAAGTAAGTCTGTAGTCTTTGATTCCGTCAGTTTTGTATTTGTAAGGTCATTATTCATTGTAAGTGCCAATATTAAAATTATCGAAGATCTAAAAACAAATAATTAATGATAATTATAAAAAAAAAATTAGATTAGATTAAATATCACTTCATTTCTTCAACCAAAAACGTTTTCTTAACACCAACTCAGAATATTACACTCTTACAACTAAAACTTGATCGTTGACCAGGTATCCGCGAGCCCGTTTCATGAAGAAGAACAGTTAATCCTAAATTATACCTCAATAGCCCCAGGCTAAGTTGTTTTTGCTTTCTTGATGATTAACTTCTTTTTCTTCGTATAAAAAAATTTATAAGAAATTTTAGAGTAATTCATCATTAGGACACTTATATATTTGGGTTAATTGTTACAACTATGACAACTAATAAGTTTCTGACAAAAGATCTAAAGTTGTAACTTGATGACTTATCTATGATGAGATTAATTGTTGGAACGAGAGCACAAAATCAAATGAGATTAAATCACCAAATTAGACACAACTGAACAAGATGGAGACGATTCAAAACGGACTTTAGTTCTAAAATAAGTTTTGTAATCATTTGCAATCATTTAGAGTAGGTTGGACCAGCTTGTACGTGTTTACGAGAAAATTTGTTTCCAATTGTTCATCTTTGTGACTTTATGACTCGATGTTAAAGAATGGTGTCTATGAGTTCGAAATGTTACAATATAATCTAAACAAAAATGAAGCACTGCAATGTAGAACTAATCAAAATGCACTGATTTCAAGAATAATCAGTATCTGATGCATTTTCGTCATCACTTTAGATTTCCTCTAAAGTTAAACACTCGAGAAACGGAGCATGCTATAAAAAAACTTTTCAAACAATAGTCATTGCAAATTTTATTATTAACAATATTGCTCTCTTGCACTTTTGCTTTTAGCTAAGCCAATAACAAGAAAAATATAAAAATATGAAAATTCGATAAATTTGTTGCTTTTTCAAGTTGTTAGTAGTAGCACTTGAGAAACGGAGCATATTACAAAAAAACTTTTGGAACAAAAGTTGTAGAAAATTTTATTCCTAACAATATTGCTCTCTTGCACTTTTGCTCTGAAATGCATAGATATCGAGAAAACTACTAAAATATGAGAATTTGAAGAATTTCGTGATTTCATTATGTGTCAATGGTAACATTCGGGAATCGGAGTATGTTATAAAAGAACTTTTAGAATAAAAGTTGTAGCAAATTTTATTCCTAACAATATTGCTCTCTTGCACTTTTGCTCTCAGATGCATAGATATCGAGAAAACTACTAAAATATGAAAATTTGAAGAATTTCGTTATTTCACTATGTGTCAATGGTAACATTCGAGAATCGGAGCATGTTATAAAAGAACTTTTAGAACAAAAGTTATAGCAAATTCTATTCCTAACAATATTGCTCTATTGCATTTTTGTTCTCAGATGCATAAATATCGAGAAAACTATTAAAATATGAAAATTTGAAGAAGATCGTTATTTCACTATGTGTCAATGGTAAAACCCGGAATTCAGAGCATATTACAAAAAAAGTTTTGGAACAAAAGTTATAGCAAATTTTATTCCTAACAATATTGCTTTCTTGTACTTTTGCTCGTAGATGCATAGATATCGAGAAAACTACTAAAATATGAAAATTTGAAGAATTTCGTGATTTCATTATGTGTCAATGGTAACATTCGGGAATCGGAGTATGTTATAAAAGAACTTTTAGAACAAAAGTTATAGCAAATTTTATACCTAACAATATTGCTCTCTTGCATTTTTGCTCGTAGATGCATAGATATCGAGAAAACTACTAAAATATGAAAATTTGAAGAATTTCGAGATTTCATTATGTGTCAATGGTTACATTCGGGAATCGGAGTATGTTATAAAAGAACTTTTAGAATAAAAGTTGTAGCTAATTTTATTCCTAACAATATTGCTCTCTTGCACTTTTGCTCGTAGACGCATAGATATCGAGAAAACTACTAAAATATAAAAATTTGAAGAATTTCGTGATTTCATCATGTGTCAATGGTAACATTCGGGAATCGGAGCATGTTATAAAAGAACTTTTAGAACAAAAGTTATAGCAAATTTTATACCTACCAATATTGCTCTATTGCATTTTTGCTCTTAGATGCATAGATATTGAGAAAACTACTAAAGTATGAAAATTTGAAGAATTTCGTGATTTCATTATGTGTCAATGGTAACATTCAGGAATCGGAGTATGTTATAAAAGAACTTTTAGAACAAAAGTTATAGCAAATTCTATTCCTAACAATATTGCTCTATTGCATTTTTGTTCTCAGATGCATAAATATCGAGAAAACTATTAAAATATGAAAATTTGAAGAAGATCGTTATTTCACTATGTGTCAATGGTAAAACCCGGAATTCAGAGCATATTACAAAAAAAGTTTTTGAACAAAAGTTATAGCAAATTTTATTCCTAACAATATTGCTCTCTTGCACTTTTGCTCGTAGATGCATAGATATCGAGAAAACTATTAAAATATGAAAATTTGAAGAAGTTCGTTATTTTACTCGTTATTAATGGCTACACTTGAGAAACGGAGCATGTTACAAAAAAACTTTTGGAACGAAAGTTGTAGTTAATTTTATTCTTAGCAATATTGGTCTCTTATACTTTTGCTCTTAGATGCGTCAATTTCAAGAAAACGATGCCTATTTCTATGCCTAAAAATACATGGTTAAGTCACAATTTCTTCTACATGCAGCGAAAGCATAGAAACTTTATTGAGCCTAAATGTTGACTAAAGAGGAACCTAAGCAACCCAACCCAATCCAAGTCAAACCAACCCAACAGAAACTAAGAAAAACCTGAAAAATTGTTGAAAATGTTTTATCTTTTGAAAAAAGAGCTTTCTTAGAGAGCTTTAAATCATACATTAACTCTGGTAGATTAAGTTTATAAAAGATTGATGACAGTTTTTAGATGAGATAAGTCCACTAAAAGTTTAGAAAGTTAAATAAGCAGTTTTTCAAAACGAGGTTACGTCGAATTGCTCGACACTTGAGGTTGTAATGGAATTGCCACATCAAATTTAATTGAGAACAAATCAAACCTGCTTTTCTTGAATTGAACGATACTTGGTTGTTTGCGGATTACCAAGTAGATCTTATATAGTAGAACGTGAATTATGCAGTGAGTTACGTAGTAAGTAATAAGCATTTTTTAGCAACTTCAAATCTTTTGCAAGCAGTTTCTAGTCTTCTGCCAACAATATTTAGTCTTTTCAAGTAGAATGGAGACTTCTGACAATAGTATCTAGTCTTCTATGAGCAGTATCTAGTTTTTATTTAGCAGTATTTAGTCCTTTCAAGCAGAATAGCCTATTTTACCACAAGCAATATTTAGAAACTACACTGGTGTTCTATTTTGATATAGTATTAAAACAGGAAGTGATACTTGTGATTATATTAAAATAATATTACCTTTTTTTAAATTCTTTTATTTTCCCTAGCAGCTTTCTCGTCTTGTTGAAGTTTAGCGATAGCTTGAACGGGTCCAAATAAAACCTTGGCGGTAACTTGAACCCCAAAAGATTTCGCCGCACTTTTCGGATCGTTTCCATTTGGAATATCCTTATCCATCGACGCCGTGTACCGATTGTTGTTGATGTCCTTAACCGTGCAAGATCTGCAGTTATCCCTCATCGTGAAGGACCTTTTCAATAATAATCGCCCTGACATTTCAAATTAAAAAGCGAACGAGGCAAAAAAAACTATTTTACGTTTAAATCCGTTTGCTAAAGTGCGATAATTACTTTTTGAATAAATGAATAATATTAAAATCGAACGGAAAAAAAGAACTGGTTCGTGAAAGTTGAAAGTTAGTTTCAAATCAAAAATGCTAAAATTAATTTATTAAAAAGAATATATTAAAAAGAAAACTTACCGTGGAAATTTCTTTTTTTCTTTTTTCTTTTAGGGTTTTGTTGAGATTGAGTCGAGTGGTTTTAAGGGTGCATGATTGATTTTTAATTAAGGGATTTTTTTTGAGGAGAAGTTCTTGAAAGGTGTCTTAAACACAGGAGTTAGCACAGCGCCGTCTGTCGACGGCACGACACACTGACTGAATGACCAAGTTCCTGCGAACTTGCGGCTCACTTTAAGACTTTGCACTTTCTCTACTGTGTATTTCGAACGCGTGACTTAACGTTGAAGAAGAAGAAGAGGGTGTAAAGATGGTGAAAGGTCGTTTAAAAAAATTTCAAATAATTAGATTTAGATCCTTTTTAATAAGCCTAAATTAAAGGGTATTATAACAAATAGAAAACTAGGAATAAAACGATGATTTTCCGAGCTATTGGTTCGTAAAGTGCGTTGTAATCGAGTCGAAACGAAATGGTTAATAAATGGGTAAGTGAACCATCGGAAAGGAAAAGAAAGTGCGACCTATTTCCGAAGTAAAATTCTCTTTCGCTCGTTCAGCGAAAGAGAGGTGACTTTCCCTTTGAAAATTACTCGAATTAATAATAATGATAATTATAAAGGAAATAAAGAGTAATTTATTAAATATTTTTTTATTACAACATCTTTTATTTTAAAAAATGAATACAAATTAGGAATTAAATAAGGATAAAGTGACCTCGAACCCGGATGACGGTGTCTTTATGGTGGGGCTGGCAATATGACCTACTGCGTTGACCGAATGAGCCACTTTCCAATGAAACGAAGCTACACACAATACTTTTTAAAATAAAAATTGTTTTCGTCAAAAAAAACTTCCTCTTTAAATTTATTTAAACAGATACGAATTTCAAATTTTTGACTCTAGAATCGCCCAACCTTAAATGTATCTTAATAACTAGATGAAGAGGTTTGATCCATGTCGACCAGTTATTTTATATAATAATATAATACTTTTTCTGGTCTAAATTATATCTAAATGCATAGGGATAATAAAAACATATAATTTCCAATTTGTGGAAAGGTTTTTCTATAACCTATCTTCATATTCTATATTATATATGTCTTTTATTAGCAGTATATAGTCTGTTTTAGCAACTTCAAATATTCTGGAAGCAGTTTCTAGTCTTCTGCTAACAACACCTAGCATACTTTTAGCAGTAGTAATAACTAGATGAGGAGATTTGATCCATATCGAGCAGTCATTTTATATAATAATATAATACGTTTTCAGGTCACTCTATTTAATGTCTAGCCGGTTTCAGGTTACGCCATCATCAAAGACTTTAAGATAATATCATTAAATTTTAACATTTAAAATCAGCGATTTTTAAAAATTGATATAAAATTAATTTTTGACCCTGGAAAGTTCAAATTTGGTATAAACCAACCTCAAACGTTCCTTAATAACCTCAAATAATTTCATTAACTAAATCGTAGGAGTTTAGGAGAAAACAATTTTTTTCTTTAACTTCACATTCAAGTAATGTCAAATTCAATGATTGTTTTCTAAAAATAGATATAAAGTTAACTTTTTACTTTGGAAACTTCCAATTTGGTACAACCTAACCTCAAACGTTTCTTAATAACCTCAAACAGTTTCATTTCTTAAATCCTAGCCGTTTAAGAGAAAAAAATTTTTTTCTTTAACCTCACTTTCAAAAAATATCAAATTAGAAATTTTTAAAAATATTTAAATAATTAATGATTGGCTGTGGAAACTTCAAATTTGGTACAACCTAACCTCAAATGTTCCTTCATAACCTCAAAAAGTTTCATTTCTCAAATCCTAGGCATTTAGGAGAAAACATTTTTTTCTTTAACCTTACTTTCAAGAAACGTTAAATTAAATAAGGCATTTTTAAAAATATATAAAAAATTAATTTTTGAGCCTGGAAACTTCAAATTTGGTACAACCTAACCTCAAACGTTTCTTAATAACCTCAAACAGTTTCATTTCTTAAATCCTAGCCGTTTAGGAGAAAAAATTTTTTTTCTTTAACCTCACTTTCAAGAAATATCAAATTAGAAATTTTTAAAAATATTTAAATAATTAATGATTGGCTGTGGAAACTTCAAATTTGGTACAACCTAACCTCAAATGTTCCTTCATAACCTCAAAAAGTTTCATTTCTCAAATCCTAGGCATTTAGGAGAAAACATTTTTTTCTTTAACCTTACTTTCAAGAAACGTTAAATTAAATAAGGCATTTTTAAAAATATATAAAAAATTAATTTTTGAGCCTGGAAACTTCAAATTTGGTACAACCTAACCTCAAACGTTTCTTAATAACCTCAAACAGTTTCATTTCTTAAATCCTAGCCGTTTAGGAGAAAAAATTTTTTTTCGTTAACCTCACTTTCAAGAAATATCAAATTAGAAATTTTTAAAAATATTTAAATAATTAATGATTGGCTGTGGAAACTTCAAATTTGGTACAACCTAACCTCAAATGTTCCTTCATAACCTCAAAAAGTTTCATTTCTCAAATCCTAGGCATTTAGGAGAAAACATTTTTTTCTTTAACCTTACTTTCAAGAAACGTTAAATTAAATAAGGCATTTTTAAAAATATATAAAAAATTAATTTTTGAGCCTGGAAACTTCAAATTTGGTACAACCTAACCTCAAACGTTTCTTAATAACCTCAAAAAGTTTCATTTCTTAAATCCTAGCCGTTTAGGAGAAATTATTTTTTTTCTTTAACCTCACCTTCAAGATATGTCAAATTAAATCGATTTTTAAAAGTACATATCTAATTAATTTCTGACTCTGGAAGCTTTAAATTTGGTATAACTTAACCTCAAACGTTCCTTTATAACCTCAAAAACTTTCATTTTTTAAATCCTATGAGTTTAGGAAAAAACTGTTTTTTTCTTTAACTTTACATTCAAATGTTAGCTTTTGACTCTGGAAGCTTTAAATTTGGTATAACTTAACCTCAAATGTTCCTTTATAACCTCAAACAGTTTTATTACTTAAATCCTAGGAGTTTGGAGAAAATAATTTTTTTCTTTAACCTCACATTCAAGAAATGTCAAATTTATTCAGTGATTTATAAAAAAGAGATATAAAGTTAGTTTTTGATATTGAAAGCTTTAAATTTGGTATAATTTAATCTCAAACGTTCCTTAATAACCTCAAAAAGTTTTATTACTTAAATCCTAGGCGTTTAGGAGAAAATAATTTTTTTCTTTAACCTCACATTTAAGAAATGTCAAACTTATACAGTGATTTCTAAAAATCGATATAAAGTTAGCTTTTGACTCTGGAAGCTTTAAATTTGGTATAACTTAACCTCAAATATTCCTTTATAACCTCACAATATTTTATTTCTTAAATTCCAGGCGATTACGAGAAAGCCTTTTTTTCTATCAAGAAATGTCAAATTAAATTAGCAATTTTTAAAAATACATAATAAATTAATTTTTGAATCTGGAAACTTCAAATTTGGTACAACCCAACCTCAAACGTTCCTTAATAACCTCAAAAAGTTTCATTACTTAAATCCTAGCCGTTTAGGAGAAAACATTCTTTTTCTTTAACCTCACTTCCAAGAAATGTCAAATTAAATATGCAATTTTTAAAAATACATAAGAAATTCCTTTTTGACCCTGGAAACTTCAAATTTGGTACAACCCAACCTCATACGTTCCTTAATAACCTCAAAAAGTTTCATTACTTAAATCCTAGCCGTTTAGGAGAAAACATTCTTTTTCTTTAACCTCACTTCCAAGAAATGTCAAATTAAATATGCAATTTTTAAAAATACATAAGAAATTCCTTTTTGACCCTGGAAACTTCAAATTTGGTACAACCCAACCTCATACGTTCCTTAATAACCTCAAAAAGTTTCATTACTTAAATCCTAGCCGTTTAGGAGAAAACATTCTTTTTCTTTAACCTCACTTCCAAGAAATGTCAAATTAAATATGCAATTTTTAAAAATACATAAGAAATTCCTTTTTGACCCTGGAAACTTCAAATTTGGTACAACCCAACCTCATACGTTCCTTAATAACCTCAAAAAGTTTCATTACTTAAATCCTAGCCGTTTAGGAGAAAACATTCTTTTTCTTTAACCTCACTTCCAAGAAATGTCAAATTAAATATGCAATTTTTAAAAATACATAAGAAATTCCTTTTTGACCCTGGAAACTTCAAATTTGGTACAACCCAACCTCATACGTTCCTTAATAACCTCAAAAAGTTTCAATACTTAAATCCTAGCCGTTCAGGAGAAAACATTCTTTTTCTTTAACCTCACTTCCAAGAAATGTCAAATTAAATAAGCAGTTTTTAAAAATACATAAAAAATTCCTTTTTGACTCTGGAAACTTCAAATTTGGTACAATCCAATCTCAAACGTTCCTTAATAACCTCAAAAAGCTTCATTACTTAAATCCTAGCCGTTTAGGAGAAAACATTCTTTTTCTTTAACCTCACTTCCAAGAAATGTCAAATTAAATTAGCAATTTTTAAAAATAGATAAAAAATTAATTTTTGACTCTGGAAACTTCAAATTTGGTACAACCTAACCTCATACGTTCCTTAATAACCTCAAAAAGTTGCATTACTTAAATCCTAGCCGTTTAGGAGAAAATATTCTTTTTCTTTAACCTCACTTCCAAGAAATGTCAAATTAAATTAGCAATTTTTAAAAATACATAAAAAATTAATTTTTGACTCTGGAAACTTCAAATTTGGTACAACTCAATGTCAAACGTTCCCTAATAATCTCAAAAAGTTTCATTTCTTAAATCCTATCCGTTCAGGAGAAAACTATATTTTGCTTTGTAAAGTCTTAATAAATAAATAAAACTTCAAATATAAATGTATGTAAACCCTTCGGGTGCATTCTCAAAACGANCAACCCAACCTCATACGTTCCTTAATAACCTCAAAAAGTTTCATTTCTTAAATCCTATCCGTTCAGGAGAAAACTATATTTTGCTTTGTAAAGTCTTAATAAATAAATAAAACTTCAAATATAAATGTATGTAAACCCTTCGGGTGCATTCTCAAAACGATGTTCGTTTTGCATTAGCACGGAAGAGTTAATTGGATTTATTTTAATAATTCAGTACACATTACGTTACAAAGTTTCGAGAAACCGTATTTATTTGTTCTTAAATATAATTCACTACATAAAATGATTTTTATTTCGATAAGGAGCGACAAAACCGAAAATCATGTATTAGTCACAAGTTGGGATTCAAAGTTATTTTAAGTTTTTGGGTTTTTCTTTTACATAGTTTAAAATAACTATTTTCTTTTTAATTCTACTCATTATTAGGTGTTAACATGGAACGATCTAAGTACTAGATCTAGATCTAAACAAATCTAATATTAGATTTATTACGTTTAGGTTTATTTTAATTTTTTTTAGAATTTTAATTGTTTATGATTATTATTGCATCTCTTTTCGATTCTACTTCAATTAATTAATTAATTTCACACCTAATTTACTCCTCTACTTTTAATGTTTAGGAAGACGAGGATATATATTATTAATTAGGTATTTAAGGTTTTTTATGATTATATTTTTTTAAACATTAATTTCTAATGATTTCTTTTTATTTTAATCAAGTTAAATGTTGTACGTTCGTTTTGTTGGTACTCAGACAGTCATCTATCTCTCTTTATGTCTTTTATTTTTAGGGTTTTTCATTTTTAAGTCGCTTCAAGTTTAATTTTTTTTTGATTGATTTGATTTAAATTATTTTTTTATTTTTGAATCTTTTAAAACTGTCATTTTAAAGATTTAATAATCGGATTTGATCGAAACCAACGTCGAATTTGATGGTAATCGGAAGTTGCTCGTTTTTCAATCTATTCCACGACGTTTTTGGTTTATATCAAATCCGGCGATTTATTTATTTAGTTTTGATTAAAAAATTTTCGTCGCTCTTTATCGCTAAATAATAATTATATCATTATTAATACTAATAAATATTATAAACTCTTAAAAACTACGGACTAGCATAGAAATATCTGGTATTAATATTAATTAATACATTCAAAAACCTTATTCTAATCAGAAAACTCCTTATTATTATTATTTTAAGTACCATGGAAAGAAAATTACCCAATAATGAACTAAAATTAACATAAAAAAGCTGATTTGTCTCTTGTAATAACGAGATGCAATTATCGTTTATTTATTTACTTCATTTAATAATTCTTTTTATTTTTTAAACTACATAACAATATTTTTTTTAGTTTTTGATATTTTTAATCATATTTTTATGTTTTTTAATGTAACAAATCCCATGACTACGTTCAAATCTCGTAACGATTTATTCGATCGTGAAAAACTAATTCATTATAATATTCCAAATAGAACGTAATACGGCTTGATGTAATAGTATGTAAAAATCGATGAGGTAAAGCACGGCAAGGCTCCGCTGAGCCCCGAGGACTAGTTTGGGAATGCTCGGAGGACCCCTAAAACCCTACATAATCACGCACTTGCCCTTCTCTGCCCAAGGATTATTCTTCTTATCCGGGGCGTGAATCAACGGATCATTTTTTTCGTTTTCTTCAACATATTCTCGCATACTACAAAATAAAATGTTATTAATAATAAATCTTATACAAACATGTTACAAAAAAGTTTTAAAATACATATAGAATTAATTTTTTGATGTGGAAAGTTCAAATTTGGTATAAACAAACCTCTAATGCTCCTTAATAACCTCAAAAAGTTTTATTTCTTAAATCCTAGCCGTTTAGGAGAAATTATTAAAGAAATTATATTAGTAATTATATCATTCAATCAGTAATTATATATTCATGAATCATATTATTCATCAAACCATTTCATTTGATACCTAGCTCATGAAAATCGCATTGTAAATGACAGAGTTACAGCTTGGGGCGTTTTTTATCTGACACCCTGTATATAAAATTAATTGTTGACTCTGGAAACTTCAAATTTGGTATAAACTAACCTCAAACATTCCTTAATAACCTCAAATAATTTAATTACTTAAATCCTAGGAGTTTAGGAGAAAACAATTTTTTCTTTAACCTTATTTTCAAAAAATGTCATATGAAATTAATGAGATTTAAAAATATATATAAAATTAATTGTTGACTGTGGAAACTTCAAATTTGGTATAAACTAACCTCAAACATTCCTTAATAACCTCAAATAATTTCATTACTTAAATCCTAGGAGTTTAGGAGAAAACCATTTTTTTCTTTAACCTCACTTTCAAGAAATGTCATATAAAATTAATGAGATTTAAAAATAGATATAAAATTAATTGTTGACTCTGGAAACTTCAAATTTGGTATAAACTAACCTCAAACATCCCTTAATAACCTCAAATAATTTCATTACTTAAATCCTAGGAGTTTAGGAGAAAACAATTTTTTTCTTTAATCTCACTTTCAAGAAATGTCAAATTAAATTAGCGATTTTTAAAAATTCATATAAAATCAATTTTTGAATCTGGAAATTTCAAATTTGGTATAATCCAACCTCAAATGTTCCTTAATAACCCCAAAAAGTTTCATTTCTTGAATCCTATCCGTTTAGGAGAAAACAATACTTCTTTCTAACCTCACCTTCAAGAAATGTCAAATTAAATTAGTGATTTTTAAAAATTGATATAAAATTAATTTTTGAATCTGGAAATTTCAAATTTGGTATAATTCAACCTTAAATGTTTCTTAATAACCCCAAAAAGTTTCATTTCTTGAATGTTATCCGTTTAGGAGAAAACAATTCTTCTCTTTAACTTCACCTTCAAGAAATGTCAAATCAACTTAGCGATTTTAAAAAATTCATATCAAGTTAATTTTTGATTCTGAAAACTTTAAATTTGGTATAATCCAACCTCAAATGTTTCTTAATAACCTCAAAAAATCTCATTTCTTAAATCCTTGACGATGAGGGGAAAAAAAATTTATTTAAGTTTAAATTTTGGCTAATAAAATGAGTTCCATATTCTGTTCGATTATTTCCCTTAGGCGATGTCCGGATGTGTTCAGGTTCAAAGTTGAAATTGGAAATGCTAAATTAACCTTTCCCGTTGGTGCCAAGTGTAGAAGAAGAGGGTGGAAACTTACAAGTCCTCATTTACAACGAAATTAACTTCTTATTCACGATTTTAAAATACCTAGTCTTTAACAAAAAAATCTCCACGTAATTTTGAAAACAACATATTTTCCACGAAACTTGACTAACTAATATTAATAAATTATTGAAATGTCATCGATGAAATAACGTTTTTTGACATTGTATGTATTGTTTATTAAGTTTCAAATGAGACCAATTCTTATAAAATCGATAAAAAACTTTTTAACTCCCCTAAAACCGATAGTTTTTCGACGAAACTATGTGGACATCGGCAAGATCCCATTCCATCTCGTATCAATTCCGGACCAAGAAAACCCGTCATTTCTCGATGTCGTCGTTTACAATTACCACAAAGCAAGGTTAATCGTCGAGAATAAATTGATTGCGCAATTACAACCGATGTGGACAGAAACCATAGCAAGGCCTGAACGCGAGGAAAAAGCTCGCGGGATTTTAAGCGCCATGGAGGATCCGGAATCCGTTTTGGAAATAAACTTTCCGATTCGGATGGATGATGGAAACTATATAATGCATAGTGGTTTCGCCGTACATTATAAAGCTTATAATGTGCCGGTTGTGGTTCCGGTTAGATTCGGTTTGGATATGACCAGAGGAAAAACAACGGCTTTAGCAAAACTTATGACTTATAAATGTGGTTTTGGACATATTCCTTTCGGCGGAGGAAGCGCGGGATTAGTTATTGATCGAAGAAAATACAGCCAAAAAGAAATGAGAAGAGTAACCCGACAGTTCGCTTCCGAATTGGTTATAAGAGGCTTCGTTGGTCCAAACATTGGGATTGTTTCCCCAGATAAAGGTGTCCAACCGAAAGAAATGAATTACATTTTAACAATGTACAGAAGAACTTACGGTTACAGCGATATTCACGCCTCAACTTTAGTAACTGGGAGAAAACCACTAAAATTTCAACAAAACATAAACAGCGTAGCCGGTGGATTTATAGCATGTTTAGAATATTTAATTTCAAAAGAGAATTTGATGAGTAAACACAAATTAACGACAACACTCGAAGGAAAAACTTATATTAGTCAAGGTTGTGGTAAATTAGCGTTACAAATTGCGTCGGTTTTATCGAATAAAGGTAGCAAATTAATCGCGGTGCAATCAACGAAAGGGAGTATTATGAATAAAAATGGAATCGATGTTAAATCATTAATTAAATACCGGATTAAACACGGTAACATCATCGGATTTCCCGGAGCCGAAGCTTATAAAGGCGAAAATGTTCTTTTCGAACCGTGTGATATAATTCTTTTAGCCGCGACTCATTTATTGATAAACGAAGCGATTGCAAGTAAAATTAACGCAAAAGTTGTTGCAGAATTAGCTAACGCGCCGATTACACCTTCTGGCGATAAAGCTTTAATTCGAAAAAATGTGTTAATTATCCCGGATATTCTCGCAAACGCCGGACAATTAACCGTTTCTTATATAGAGTGGTTGCAAAAAATGTATCCTGTTAACAACATGATTTTAAGATATAAAAGAATGACTGATTATGATACTTTAAAATCGATCGAAGATTCGCTACAAAGGCAAGCTTATAAAGTTCAGATACAACCGAAACCTGACATCGTTGAGCGTGCTAAAGGGATTAAATATGGGGAGATGGAGTGGGTTGGATTGATGGGAATTACGGAACAAAATTGTCAAAGAGTTATTAATATCGCGGATCAGTATCAATTGGGGCCCGATTTAAGAACTGCTGCTCATATTGGGGCTATTTTACACATATTCGGAGAACTTTCGAATAGATTATAAACATTTTTTTTTCTATATTTATACAATTAAAGTTTTTTATAATATATTAAAATAAATAACTCAAATATTTCAACAAACATTTAATTTAAAAATTCGTTCAAACTTGATTTATACATATATAATTAAATTAATTTTCGAGTTACAATTCATTAAAATTTTTAACATTATCTGCATTATCTTTAAAAATTCGTCAAAAATTGATTTCTTGGAAAATAATTATGAAATATTCACCAATTATCAATTAAAGCCTGTACTTTTCAATGAACAAGTCCGCTTTGAAAGATCTCTTTTACTTTTTGAATTACGAGCTTTTTAATACAATCACAATTATTTGCAATTTTTAGCATTATTTAGATTAACTTTAAAAATTCCTCTAAAATTGATTTCTTGGAAAATGATAACGAAATGTTCATCACTTATAAATTAAAGCATCCACTTTTCAGTGATGATGTCCATTTGGAAATATCACTTTTACTTTTTTAGTTATGAACTTTTTAATACACACATTTTTTTTCATTTTTAATATTATCTAATGACTTTAAAAATTCGTCAAAAATTGATTTCTTGGAAAATAATTATGAAATATTCACCAATTATCAATTAAAGCATGTACTTTTCAATGAACAAGTCCGCTTTGAAAGATCTCTTTTACTTTTTGAATTAAGAGCTTTTTAATACAATCACAATTATTTGCAATTTTTAACATTATTTAGACTAACTTTAAAAATTCTCCAAAAATGGATTTCATGGAAAATGATAACGAAATGTTCATCAATTATAAATTAAAGCATCCTCTTTTCACTGATGATGTCCATTTGGAAATATCCCTTTTAGTTCTTTAGTTATGAACTTTTTAATACAAACACATTTTTTTTCATTTTTAATATTATCTAATGATTTTAAAAATTCGTCAAAAATTTATTTCTTGGAAAATAATTATGAAATATTCACCAATTATCAATTAAAGCATGTACTTTTCAATGAACAAGTTCGCTTTGAAAGATCTTTTTTACTTTTTGAATTACAAGCTTTTTAATACAATCACAATTATTTGCAATTTTTAACATTATTTAGACTAATTTTAAAAATTCGCCAAAAATTGATTTCTTGGAAAATGATAACAAAATGTTCATCACTTATAAATGAAAGCATCCACTTTTCAGTGATGATGTCCATTTGGAAATATCACTTTTACTTTTTTAGTTATGAACTTTTTAATACAAACACATTTTTTTTTCATTTTTAATATTATCTAATGACTTTAAAAATTCGTCAAAAATTGATTTTTTGGAAAATGATTATGAAATATTCACCAATTATCAATTAAAGCATGTACTTTTCAATGAACAAGTCTGCTTTGAAAGATCTCTTTTACTTTTTGAATTACGAGCTTTTTAATACAACCACGATTATTTGCAATTTTTAACATTATTTAGACTAACTTTAAAAATTCTCCAAAAATTGATTTCATGGAAAATGATAACGAAATGTTCATCAATAATAAATTAAAGCTTCCACTTTTCAGTGATGATGTCCATTTCGAAATATCACTTTTAGTTCCTTAGTTATGAACTTTTTAATACAAACACATTTTTTTTCAATTTTAATATTATCTAATGACCTTAAAAATTCGTCAAAAATTGATTCTTTGGAAAATGATTATGAAATATTCACCAATTATCAATTAAAGCATGTACTTTTCAATGAACAAATCCGCTTTGAAAGATCGCTTTTACTTTTTGAATTAGGAGCTTTTTAATACAATCACAATTATTTGCAATTTTTAGCATTATTTAGATTAACTTTAAAAATTCCCCTAAAATTGATTTCTTGGAAAATGATAACGAAATGTTCATCACTTATAAATTAAAGCATCCACTTTTCAATGATGATGTCCATTTGGAAATATCACTTTTACTTTTTTAGTTATGAACTTTTTAATACAAACACTTTTTTTTTCATTTTTAATATTATCTAATGACTTTAAAAATTCGTCAAAAATTGATTTTTTGGAAAATGATTATGAAATATACACCAATTATCAATTAAAATATGTACTTTTCAATGAACAAGTCCGCTTTGAAAGATCTCTTTTACTTTATGAATTACGAGCTTTTTAATACAACCACGATTATTTGCAATTTTTAACATTATTTAGACTAACTTTAAAAATTCTCCAAAAATTAATTTCTTGGAAAATGATAACGAAATGTTCATCAACTATAAATTAAAGCATCCACTTTTCAGTGATGATGTCCACTTGGAAATATCACTTTTAGTTCTTTAGTTATGAACTTTTTAATACAAACACATTTTTTTTCATTTTTGATATTATCTAAGGACTTTAAAAATTCGTCAAAAATTGATTCTGTGGAAAATGATTATGAAATATGCACCAATTATCAATTAAAACATGTACTTTTCAATGAACAAGTCCGTTTTGAAAGATCTCTTTTACTTTTTGAATTACGAGCTTTTTAATACAATCACAATTATTTGCGATTTTTAACATTATTTAGATTAACTTTAAAAATTCCCCTAAAATTGATTTCTTGGAAAATGATAACGAAATGTTCATCACTTATAAATTAAAGCATCCACTTTTCAGTGATGATGTCCATTTCGAAAGATCACTTTTACTTTTTTAGTTATGAACTTTTTAACACAAACACATTTTTTTTTCATTTTTAATATCATCTAATGACTTTGAAAATTCGTCAAAAATTGATTCTATGGAAAATGATTATGAAATATGCACTAATTATCAATTAAAGCATGTACTTGTCAATGAACAAGTCCGCTTTGAAAGATCTCTTTTACTTTATGAATTACGAGCTTTTTAATACAACCACGATTATTTGCAATTTTTAACATTATTTAGATTAACTTTAAAAATTCTCCAAAAATTGATTTCATGGAAAATGATAACGAAATGTTCATCAATAATAAATTAAAGCTTCCACTTCTCAGGGATGATGTCCATTTCGAAATATCACTTTTAGTTCTTTAGTTATGAACTTTTTAATACACACATTTTTTTTCATTTTTAATATTATCTAATGACTTTAAAAATTCGTTAAAAATTGATTTTTTGGAAAATGATTATGAAATATACACCAATTATCAATTAAAGCATGTACTTTTCAATGAACAAGTCCGTTTTGAAACATCTCTTTTACTTTTTGAGTTACGAACTTTTTAACACAGTCACAATTATATAAAATTTTTAACATTATCTACATTGACTTTAGAAATTCGCCAAAAATTAATTTTTTGGAAAATGATAATGAAATATTCACCAATTATCAACTAAAGTATGTACTTTTCAAAGAACAAATCCGTTTTTTAAAATCACTTTAACTTTTTGAGTTACGAATTTTTTACACACATTCGGGGCTAACTTTCTAATATAATCTATTGGAAAGAACATTTTTTTGTATATTTACAATATTAATTTTTTTTATAATACATAGAAATAAATAATTAACTCAAACGTTTGAACAAAAATGCGTTATCAAAGATAAGATAAGTTAACTCAATTGTTTTCATCATTATAACAAGTACTCAAACCACTTTAGATATTCCAATAATTTTTCATAACAAATTATTTTATTTCAACAACGATATTATCCATCTCTTTTTAACTAACACGAAATGTGGCGAACCGAAAAACGTCGATATTTCGATTAGTCCACGAACGTGTTTTAAAATACAGCAGGAAAAATGAAGTGGCTTCTATCTAAAGTCTAAACGAAGTTGAAAATGAACGAAATTTAACTTGATTAACGCGTTTAGAAATAGAAAATAATAATTTAGAGGAGAAATGACTCACGCTGCGATACTTTTGGATAACGGCCACCTTTCCATTGATGCTTGGTACTTCATGTTCTCGATTTGTTTCTTAAGAGCGTCCTTATCCATGGCTGCAATGGAACTGGCATCCATTGGGCGCGGTTATCTTTCGGAATATTTACGCAGGCGTCGATTTGTAGTTTAAAGACGCAACAAACGATGGCGCTAAACGGTTATTTTAGATTATTTATTAAAGAAAATCTTTAAAAAAATCTTTTGTCTAAAAATTAATGCGATTATTAATCAAATTAATCAAATTTATTTTAAATTTGAGTAAATGAAGTTATAAAATTAATAATAATAACTTACGAGATAATATTAAAATTGATGTTTTGCCAAAAATATTTATTTTTGGATTTTTAAACCGTAAAAACTGCTTTGGTGTTATTAAATTTAAAATAGAGAAATGAGAAATCGACTTGAATAGGTGGGTTTTTCTGACGAACTGACGATAAGCCAATTTGTTTAGTTGCGTTTTTACGTGAGAAAATCCTTGGAAAATATTTTTGATAAGAAATAAGGATTGTTTATGTTTTGCCTCTAAAATGTGATAACAAAAAAATAATGTTATTATTGGATCTAAATTTATATTCCGACTTTTTTTGTTGGTTATGATTGTATTCAAATGGAGTAATAACTAAAAATGTTGCTGTTAAATCACTAAACTTTTTTCTAGAAACCTTAAAATATCCAGGTTACTCGTTCTAAAGGATTTTTTAATCAAACCCCTATTTTCAGGAAATAAAAAGAATTTATTTGTTTAATATTCATCAATTATCAATTAAAGTATATACTTTTCAATGAACAAGACTGTTTTGAAAAATCTCTTTTAATTTTTATGTTACGAGCTTTTTAATACAGTTACAATTATTTGCAATTTTTAACATTATTTAGATTAACTTTAAAAATTCCCCAAAAATTGATTTCTTAGAAAATGATAACGAAATGTTCATCGCTTATAACATAAAGCATCAACTTTTCAGTGATGATATCCATTTGGAAATATCACTTTTAGTTCTTTAGTTATGAACTTTTTAATACAACACATTTTTTTTCATTTTTCATATTATCTAATGACTTTAAAAATTCGTCAAAAATTGATTTTTTGGAAAATAATTATGAAATATTCACCAATTATCAATTAAAGCATGTATTTTTCAATGAACAAGTCCGCTTTGAAAGATCTCTTTTAATTTTTAAGTTACGAGCTTTTTAATACAGTCACAATTATTTGCAATTTTTAACATTATTTAGATTAACTTTAAAAATTCCCCAAAAATTGATTTCTTGGAAAATAATAACGAAATGTTCATCAATTATAAATTAAAGCATCCTCTTTTCAGTGATGATGTCCATTTGGAAATATCACTTTTAGTTCTTTAGTTATGAACTTTTTAATACAACCACAATTTTTCTCATTTTTAATATTATCTAATGACTTTAAAAATTCGTCAAAAATTGATTTTTTGGAAAATGGTTATGAAATATTCACCAATTATCAATTAAAGCATGTACTTTTCAATGAACAAGTCCGCTTTGAAAGATCTCTTTTACTTTATGAATTACGAGCTTTTTAATACAATCACAATTATTTGCAATTTTTAACATTATTTAGATTAACTTTAAAAATTCCCCAAAAATTGATTTTTTGGAAAATGATAACGAAATGTTCATCAATTATAAATTAAAGCATCCTCTTTTCAGTGATGATGTCCATTTGGAAATATCACTTTTAGTTCTTTAGTTATGAACTATTTAATAAAACAAATTTTTTTTCATTTTTCATATCATCTAATGACTTTAAAAATTCGTCAAAAATAGATTTTTTTGAAAATGATTATGAAATATTCATCAATTATCAATTAAAACATGTACTTTTCAATGAACAAGTCCGCTTTGAAAGATCTCTTTTACTTTATGAATTACGAGCTTTTTAATACAATCACAATTATTTGCAATTTTTAACATTATTTAGATTAACTTTAAAAATTCCCCAAAAATTGATTTNTGAAATTCTTTTCTAAAATAATTTTTGCTTTAATTAATCTTGGGTTAAGATTAAAAGAAATTACCAAGATTTTTGGTTTTATTAATGTAATTATCACTTCAATTTTTTAATTGAGTAACAATTTAAATTATAAATTAATAATTTCATTAATAATATTTCCCTAAAAATTAGTTATTTTTAAATTTGATGAAATTGAGGTTGGTAGCCCTTCCTATCATTTCGATTTTTTTGACAGAAACGGTTTCTTGTCAAGTTTTAATTCATTTATTATTAATTATTTCATTATTAAGTGTTTTATTATATTTATTCTTTACGAATCGAACCTTTTTAGTTATAACTCAGTAAGTAAATAGTTTTTATCGATTTGAAATTCTTTTCTAAAATAATTTTTGCTTTAATTAATCTTGGGTTAAGATTAAAAGAAATTACCAAGATTTTTGGTTTTATTAATGTAATTATCACTTCAATTTTTTAATTGAGTAACAATTTAAATTATAAATTAATAATTTCATTAATAATATTTCCCTAAAAATTAGTTATTTTTAAATTTGATGAAATTGAGGTTGGTAGCCCTTCCTATCATTTCGATTTTTTTGACAGAACGGTTTCTTGTCAAGTTTTAATTCATTTATTATTAATTATTTAATTATTAAGTGTTTTATTATGTTTATTCTTTACGAATCGAACCTTTTTAGTTATAACTCAGTAAGTAAATAGTTTTTATCGATTTGAAATTCTTTTCTAAAATAATTTTTGCTGTAATTAATCTTGGGTTAAGATTAAAAGAAATTACCAAGATTTTTGGTTTTATTAATGCAATTATCACTTCATTTTTTTAATTGAATAACAATTTAAATTAGAAATTAATAATTTCATTAATAATATATCCCTAAAAATTAGTTATTTTTAAATTTGATAAAATTGAGGTTGGTAGCCCTTCCTATCATTTCGATTTTTTTGACAGAAACGGTTTCTTGTTAAGTTTTAATTAATTTATTGTTAATTATTTAATTGTTAAGTGTTTTGTTATGTTTATTCTTTACGAATCGAACCTTTTTAGTTATAACTCAGTAAGTAAATAGTTTTTATCGATTTGAAATTCTTTTCTAAAATAATTTTTGCNTCAGTGATGATGTCCATTTGGAAATATCACTTTTAGTTCTTTAGTTATGAACTTTTTAATACAACACATTTTTTTTCACTTTTAATATTATCTAATGACTTTAAAAATTCGTCAAAAATTGATTTTTTGGAAAGTGATTACGAAATATTCACCAATTATCAATTGAAGCATGTACTTTTCAATGAACAAGTCCGCTTTGAAAGATCTCTTTTACTTTTTAAGTTACGAGCTTTTTAATATAATCACAATTATTTGCAATTTTCAACATTATTTAAATTAACTTTAGAAATTCTCCAAAAATTGATTTCTTGGAAAATGATAACGAAATTTTCATCAATTATCAATCAAAACATCTATTTTCCGTTTTGAAATATTACTTTTACTTTTTGAGTTACGAGTTTTTTAACAAAACCAATATTCCTGAAATTTCTTAACTAATTTATCTTTTTAACAAAAATTTATAGAAATATGCAATCAAATTAAACAAATAATTCATGAAACTTATACAATCTTAATCACAAATCATGCACATTGTGTTGCCTGATCTTTAATTTAGTTTAATTCAATTTAATTTACGAAGTAATCAATAAAAAAAATTTTGATGAATTCTCATTAACGATTCTTAATAAAATTTTTATCTTTTTTGCAAAATTATTAATAAATAAAATATAAATCGTATATAGAAATAATCCGATTGACCTATTTCTCCTTTTCCATTATCTTCATTAGGTAACCGAGTTTAGACCTTTACATAACATCATCCGAGGCACGCGCAAATTTCGGCCTCCGATCAAAAGAAAGAGACCCCATTTTTTGGGGCAATAACCTCCTCGTTGTTGAACAGGTGTAACTCCAGTCAATGAAACCGACAACTTCGTCGCTTTCACTTGACTTTCACCGGGTAGCGAATTTTTTTATTCAAATTTTGGTGCACTTTAACTAACAAAACAAACATTTTTATCCTATTAATTATACACTTATAAATAAACAAAATATAATCCTAATTCCCAATTCTTACATAGTGAGTGAAAATATTATTTAAGATAATTAATATTTGATTAGCGTAATATTTTATTGTTACAAAATAGGCTACTAATAACTTTCCGCATAACTCCTCTTTAAATGGTTCGAAAATGATAGAGTTAACTCTCCTAAAAGGAAATAACTATGTCGACACATACCTCGGGTTCTTTATTAAAGAAGTTAAGTAACATTTTCGCGGCCCAAAGAGCAATAAAACCGTTTCGACACGGCTTAAAGAACCTTCGTGTGACTTACATTTTGACGAACAAAGAACCTATATCTATAAAAAATGGAAATCAACCAAAATATTTCAATAAATATATTTATAAATTACTTTATTTTTGAACTACTAAAGTTGTTGACAAAGTTTTGTCTTTGCAACTTTGTTCAAGGTCACAAAAAAATCGTGACATGGAATATCGATTATGATTTTAAAGTTTTATGATCTTTTTAATGCAACTCATTAATTACTAATAATGATTGAGTTAGGTTGGGTTAAGGAGGAATATTGGTGGAGTAACGAGGTAGCTCTCAAAGTATTCCCAATGCATTCACATTATCTAGAGACACAAAATTATCTAGAGTTTGATTTTGTACGTTTCTATTTTAAAAACGCTTTTTTTTTAACAAAAGATATATCAAGAAATTTAAAAAAAATTCAAGAATTATCATGTGGTATAAAAATCGACGATTTTTTTTAATCAATGTGAAATGACCCAAGAAAACGCGTTAAAAATAAAAAGAAAGTGCGAAAATGTGACTAACATTAGATTAACTTCAGTTATAAAACTTCTATTATATGATAACTAACTTCAGGTTTAGAATGTCAACCTCAATTTTGACATATTTGTAATCTTCATTAAAAATCCTTTAAAATGAGTACAAACACGACCTATTTATCTTCAATATTAATGCAGTTATGGTCAACTTCCGGTTAAGAATGTCAACGTCAGTTTTGACATATTCTTAATTGTTATAAAATGTATTAAAATTTGTCACAAAAACGGAAATATAATAAAAAAAATCAAAAATTAAGGTTGGTATTAATATTTAAAAATTAAATTGCTATCTTCATTGTTGTATGGAGTCTGTAGGGTCTGT